GCAAGCCCTCTATACGTAATTCCCAAACATTCTAAGAATTTATGAAAACGTGAAAATGACCATATCTAAGTGGTCGCTTGTTAGAGAAATCTTTAAAAAGTGTCATTCTTCCTGGGGGTGTATATGAACAGATTTTAATAAGATTTCATGTTGCTAAAATGCAGTTCCACTTTAAATGCAACAATATTTTCGAAAGAGATGGCTAACAACAGCAAGCGCGGCGACCTGTTCGACTTCAAGAAGACAGAAGCACAGATAGAACAATGAGGATTAGTTATAAAAAATCTTTGGCAGAAGTTTCCATACGTTTTTGTAAAAACAGTCCCACCAATTAAGTCAAAATGTGATTGGTTGATTCCACTGTCACGCCAAAATGTTGCCCAAATTCAATTGAATGACAGGTGCCTTTTATCTAGCTTCTCATGGCCTAGCCAATGGCTGACTTAGCTAGCTAGATTTATATCCCCAGAGACCAGCAAAGAAAAATCCTGATTGGATATTGTTTTCTCTTCAGCGTTAACCCTTTTCTTTCCAACAAAAATCAGATCATTGAAAATAATATTATTATTTATTATTATTATTATTATTATTTTATAAATCATTAGCCCTTCTCTGAAGACATAGAAGGCCCATTGTTCTCCACTGTGTTTGGGTTAGTAATAATTTATAGAGTGGCTATATTTTCACTATTCTGAATGTCTAAATAATCCATATGTTGTTCTGAAATATGAACACATAAATACTGGACATTTTGAACTCTTATTATGGTGGTGATTTGACAAAATTACAAGGTGGTCTTGAATTGGATATGCATTTTTCTGGTCTCGGTCTTGACTCGGGTCTCGGACCCCTTCCGGTCTTGGTCTTGACTCGGACTCAATTTGCTCCGGTCTTGGTCTTGAATCGGTCTCACTTTAGGGGGTCTCGAACACAACCCTGACTAAAACATGTTCTTGTATTTGTTTGTAAGTGTATATTTTTCATAAACCTTGTTTGATTAATATGTATCAAGTCTGATAATACTTTTGCCATTCTGTTGCTCATGAGTTCTGTTATTATTTTGTCACAATGTATTACATTTATGGATCTGTACTCTGTAGGGGACTCCCCAGATTTTCCTGGTTTTAATATAAGTGAAATAACTGTTTTATACATGGAACTCGGAAGCACTGAATTGAATGACCTGTTTTGTCATTTGAGTAAATAGGGCCGCTACTTTGACCCAGAATATAAAATAAAATTATATGGGAAAGCCACCCCTCCCTGGTGCTTTTCTCCATGGTAATGTTTTAACAGTATCTAATATTTCTTTTTGGGTGATTTCCATTTTTAATGATTATTTTGTTATCTGCTGATAGTTGCTTTAGGGTTATTGAGTCTAAGAAGGCTGCAGGATCAGTCCAACTGTTATTTAATTCTGATTCATATAAGCTTTTAAAATGGTTATTAATAGCATCGTTGTTTATCCTTATCTTATTAAATTATAACTGGTTTGGCATGTATTTGTTTTGTGAAGGCTGCGAGGTGTTTACCAGGTTTATTTGCTATTAAATAGTATGCTTTATTTGAGTTTAACTTATAGTTGTTGGCTCTCTTCAAAAGTAAAAGATCATGTTCCTGCTTAAGTTCAGATTTTTTTTTTGTTCTTTACCTTGTAAAGATTTTTATGGGCTTTTTCTAAGATAGTGATTTCTTCGTCTTTTTCCTTAATTTTTAACTTTTGCAGAGTATGAGATTATCATTCCCCTAATGTATGCCTTAAAAGCATCCCAAATTATGTTGGGGGTCAGCTTTTCTCTGTCCTCTATGTCTACATTTGTAATGGTAAAGGTCTTGAAGATGCGCTCTGTTCTGAAGTGTATTTTCTGTTGGTGTAATTAAGCATAATACAGGAGAATGATCTGATATCAATATATCATGGATTTTAGAAGTGCATTTTTTTAGAAAAAAAATAGCTTTTCTTACTTTGAGTAAAAAATAGTAGTCTTTTGAAGTTGGGGATGATAATCTCCAGGTGTCCTGTAAAATATTTGTAGAGATGAACATTTTCAGTCTCTTTGGAGTTTCCTTGAATTTCCCTTTTTTATTGCTATATCTGTCTAATTTTCTGAATGCTTAGTTCATAATAGTTTATGTCTGGGTTTGATCTAATATAGCTTGAATTCTATCTAAAAACACCAGTTTTGCCCCTGGGTATGATATGCAATGAAATCAATGTGTATTTTCCCCCATGTAAGGTACAATTCAAAATGTGAATAAAATCCTTAATTGATCCCTTTGCTGGGATATAAGGAAAAAGGGTGCATTGTTATTTATCAGTATACCTACACCTCTGCTGTTACTACAGTAGGTGGCAGCATAGGCCTCTCCAACCCAGCTCCTCTTTAAATATTAAATTCTTCATTTTTTGAAGTGTAGCTCTTGCAAAAAAACACATCTGCTGAAAATCTCTTTAAATGTTCAAGAACTTTATGCTTGTTTTTTCCATCATAAAGCCTGTGCACATTCCATGTAATAAGTTGGATTTTGTTGGCCTACAAAGTTAACCTTGTCTGTTCCATCTGTCATTGAAGAACCAGGTAAAACATGTAATATGATGGCAGTGGACATCCCATGGATATGGAGTCGTAGCATGAATACATAGTTATTGTATACATTACACATATAAAATGTGTGACCATGTAGGAACATGTAGGCTGTGCAATCATTTAACAGAGAACATACAAAAAATATAAAGTATGTATTTGTATTTTGAGGTGCTCTGCCTTTTTGGGGCTTTTAAGCTTCTAATTTACTCCTCCCCTAATGTACCAAAAATCTATGGATTATGTAATTGTACATACATTGAAGAAAGACTGGCACTTAAATATTTTGGTCAGTTTGTAATACCTTAAAGTATAGTAGCTGGTGGGGCTCTACTTGGGGGAGAGTGGATCCACTGAGACCGAAGTGAGGTGAGTGGATGCACCACACATACTTCAGGAAAATGTCTGATGCCGTCTCATTGTAGTATAGATAAATCCTTCCTTCCCACTTTCCCAAGCCAAGCTTGTCCCTCTCCACCTTCCCCTCCCAGTTTCCCTCCCCCTTTACCCCCCCCCCAAGTTTGTCCCACCCTCCCATCCTTGTCCACCCAAGCCAAGCTTGTCACAACCTCCCATCCTTGCCCACCCAAGTCAAGTTTGTCCCAAACTTCCATCTTTTCCCACCCCCATTCTTCTCAGACACATCTACACCATCCATACATCGATTTACTAATCCATTCTCCTTCGTTCACAAATATCTCCCACCCTCCTACACGTATTCATATTGTGAGAGATTTATTATTTTTATAATTGATGGGATAACTAACTTAGAAAGAATGCATTCTTGACTGGGCTAATGTAGGTTGTGTCACCTGGCAGGCTGTGATTGATGTGAAGAGCTGTTTTAGGGGGTAAAATGAGATAAGGATTTGTGTCTCCAAATACTAGAATATACTGGTTCTTTGTGATCTGTGAACCTTCCTTGGACGTAGGAATGGTGTCTAAGGGAGCTGGCTCTTCTCACTATGACAGGTTGTTATGATAAACGTATGCCTGGTAACAGAAGAGGCGGGGAACAGCCGGTGCGCCAACGGATAGGCTGAGTAAGTCTAAACCACACTCAAGTCTCTACTCTGATTGGCCAGCAGAGAGGTGGGAAACTCTCTCTGTCAGAGTATTTGAGCAAGAACCTAGAACAATGGATTAGTTCTCTGAAGTGCCCTGCGAGGTATTTCAAAGAGCCCGTATATACGAAACATCATATTTACCATTGAAGGTTTTTGCATTAATTAAAATAACTAGTATATCTTAGAAGTCGTGTTGACCACTTTTGTTCCTAATACCAGATTTGAATTGACGCAACTTTGACAATATTCACCCTCCTTCACACTCCCATTCATATGCACAGACACACATACACCCACCTACACTCACACCTATATGCCCACACACACACATCCATAGAACAGTTATTGACATACATGCTATATTTCCTCTTTTGTATTGTCTTTTCAGTGTCCATGTAGCCCATTGACATAGTCTACTTCCAATGTTTATATCCCAGGACAAATTGGCTAGCTAAATTGCCATACATGTTTAATGCTTTTCGACCTGTCCCCAAGTTAATATAGTTGGTTCAGAGTTCGTTTTGATATTTCAACCTGCGTGTCCTGATCGTGTCTGGTGTGGGTGGACAAAATCAACATGCACGTGGATGCACGCGGTCTGGTAAGCATGGTTGCTCTCTGGATGGGAGACCATATGCTGCTGGAAGTGGTGTTGGAAGGCCAGTAGGAGGCACTCTTTCCTCTGGTCTAAAATATAAAACAATAACCCAGGGCAGTGATTGGGGACATTGCCCTGTGTAGGGTCCCGTCTTTCAGATGGGACATTAAACTGGTGTCCTCTGTGGTCACTAAAGATCCCATGGCACTTATCATAAGAGTAAGAGTAGGGGTGTTAACCCCGGTGTCTTGGCTAAATTCCCAATCTGGCCCTCATACCATCATGGCCACCTAATCGACCCCAGCTTCCGATTGGCTCATTCATCTCCCCACCCCTGTAACTATTCCACAGGTCATTGCTGTAAATGAGAATGTGTTCATAGTCAATTTACCTGGTAAAATAAGGGATTTAAAAAAAGTGGTAACTACTATAGAACCAGGACTACTTCAATGTAACACAACAACTTTGTCAAATAAACAAAATAGCCTAACGAGGGCTTTACAGTGATGGTGAGAAATGTTGGGGGTTGAAATCTTCCTAGAAGTCACGGAGGGACTTGTCAACAAGTCTCTCCTCCATTGATTAAAATTAAATATATTTTGAATGAGTTATCTACACTGGAATGTTTTTAAATGTTGGCTTTTATTTAGGTTTCCTCTTTACCATTCGATCATTACCAACAATAGCATAGACGTTACAGAAGGGTTAACCTTATAAAGTTATAAATATATTTTATACTTAACTCCCCGCCCCTAGTGTAGTGATGTGTTGATGGTTTCGGTTTCGTTTCTTGAGGCTGACACGATTTCCGCATATCGTCTTTAGTGGCTGGATGATCACTTACGTTTACTACACAATGAAACTCAAATAGGCTACTTTGAAACAATATAGCTATTTCACCAAATCTCACCAGCTGCTCCCAATCACATATCACCATGAATTTAAGAACGCGGAGACAAATTGGACTGGATTTTTATGAATTCTTGCAAGAAACAAATCGAACATCAGTCAATGACAAAAGTGAACTCCGAGACATCTACAACTCAGAGTTTCGAAACAGGTAAATGTATCTTCATCAATTTCTCTACCTGACTCTTGTCCAACAATTTGTTCAAACTTGGAGAGACTTGTTGACAAGTCCCTTCGTGCACCCTCTTTGACTTCTAGTAAGATTTTAACCCCCAATATTTCTCAAAAATGTCACCATCATTGTAAATCCCTAGTTTGGCTATTGTTTCTATAAGACCTTTATTCACAGGGGTGTTGGGAAAAAAATACACTTTTAAGCCACATTTTTATATTTTAGTCAACTTGTCTAGTCAGATAGGCGTAGGCTAGGCCTGCAGCTTCTCTTCAGTCAACTTGCCCTAGAAGACAAATAGATTACAATGCATAAATCGGTACTCGCAAGAATGTCTTAAATGATATAATTTAATGCAATCATCTGACATCTGTAAAGCTTTCTCTTTCATAGTTGTTCCTCTCGACCGCACCAGGGAGAACGCAATAGCTCTAAACAGGGTAGCCAAAATATTCTTCCCTTGCAAACATGTTGATTTAAAAGCAGTGAAAACAAACATTCATGTTTCTAATAAGAATGAACTTCGTCATTGATACATATTCTACGTGGTTGAAATACTGAGCTGTTATGTAAATGGTCAACCGCTGAATAAGACACCCATATTTGCATTTGTTCGAGGTACTGAAAGAAATCAAGCTTACTATATTGCGCCACTCCTTTAACCCAGACAGAAAAATAACATTTGGTGCGTCATTGTACTGCACGAGTTCATTTCTTATTAGGTTACATGTGAGATGTTATAGGCCTGTCAGTTTCCAGATTTCAGTTAGTATTCCATTGAATCAATCTCAAGTTCAAAGTGATCATTTTAGCTCTCTCGTATCAGCTCTCATTTGTTGGCAAAGTAAACATGTTCTAATGCGATTTCGTAGTCTCTCACAATATCACAATCTTTCACAATAAACAAGTCATTAACAATACTCAAAGTAGGCATAGTAATAACGACATTAGTCTTTCAGTGTCATATTTAAGTAGGCATAGTAAAACTTAACGTTTATTTGTTCTGAACATACAGCATACTTTACATAATTAAATAGTAGCTATACATTCAGTAATGGCAGTGTAGTACAATACAGTTAATACTTGTAGTGGCGCAATAGAGGCAACTGTGGTGTGGGTGTAGAGATATGCAAAGAGTCATCTTGTGACAAGAACATGGATGGAATAGATACTTTATTGTCCATTAGAACGGAAATTTGCCTTCTGCTTTTCCCAACACCCTGCAGTGCAGCACCCCTGGGTGGAGAGCAATTGTGGGGGGTTCAGTGTCTTGCTCAAGGGCACAGTGGCAAGAGATGGTACATGGGAGCCTTCCAGCTGCCATTTTAGTTCCATACCCATTTTTGTGTCATCCTGGGCTTGAACCATTGTAGTCATGGCACCCCACTCATTCATTGTTCCTGTAGTAGCCTAGACCTAGATCAGTGTTTCCTAGTCCTAGAGACCCAAAGAGGTGCACATTTTTGTTTTTGCCTTCGCACTAGCCATCTGATTCAAATGATCAACATATCAAGCTTTGACAATTTGAATCAGCTGTGTAGTGTTATGACAAAATATACAGTTTGGAGAGGCAAATCAGCAGCTGGAAGATTGCTGGTTGAAGCCCCAGGCCCGGCAACACAAAAATAGGAATGGAACTGAACTGGCAGCTGGAAGGTACCATCTCCTGCCAATATGCCCTTGAGCAAGGCACCTAACCCCCCACAATTGCTCTCCATCCAGGGGCTCTACACTGCTGCTGACCCTGTGTCAACTTGTGTGTATTTGTTTGTGTTGGGAAAGGGAGAAGATACATTTTCCATTCTCACCAATAGATTATAAAGTTGAATTAAATGATTCTATGGAGTCATCCATGTCTTTATCCAGCATATTGTCCATCTAGAGAGGGATAGACAGCCCTGACAACACAAGCTGACTCGCCATGTGACACTCCAGGAAAAATATGTCTGCCATCGAGCATTATTGTCTGAAAAAAAGGACAACACATTCAACTCCTCTGCACAGGCATTTGTTTAAATATATCAACACAATGTTGATGGGACACATTTCACTTTGATTATAACCCACAGACACCCAAGATGAATATGAATTGATAGCCTAGGCATCTGATGGTGCTGCCTAGGCTAATAAATTGTCTAAGCCAAATCGTCCAAGTTACTCGTCCTCATCAATATATAATAATAATACTGGACAGATATGCATGCCACTTTCTCCTAGTAGTAGTAGATACATTAGGCTTATGATTATGGGATGGCATTTCGATAGATACTGTATCTAGCTAGCTAGCTTGCCTAAAGTTAAGCCTAATATAAAATAATGTAGCTAGCCTAGCCCTCCCTTTTAGTTATTTAGCTAGCTAGCTAGCTAGCTAGGGTCCGTTACAGGGTTAACTGGGCAAGCCCCTATGGTAGCTTACCTACAAATCAAATCAAATTCCTGTTGCACAAAGTTAGCTTTTTGGGTGGCATAGCTTTAAACAGAAAATACAGCTATTGCTAGGCCTTCTGACACTGAGTGGAACAGATAGATAGCTAGCTAGTAGAGTAGCTAGACAAATAACACAATCATGTTACCTGAAATAATAATATATAATATATGCCATTTAGCAGATGTTTTTATCCAAAGCGACTTACAGTCATGCGTGCATAAATGTTTGTGTATGGGTGGTCCCGGGGATCGAACCCACTACCCTGGCGTTACAAGCGCCGTGCTCTACCAGCTGAGCTACAGAGGACCAAATGCAGCTGATCCACGCACGTCGTTGTCCTGTTTCAACAAACCCCAACACAACACTCAACCCTTAGCTACCCCTAGTAGCAGCTAGCAAAACTTCTTCTTCTTGTAACGTTCCAGCAGACTAGACGCTTTGTGGTGTATTGCTGACTTTCACAGGTCGGAGTGCGAATGACACATTTGGGACAGAAAGAGGGAAGAAGCAGAAGCTGCTGCTGCTGCGTCGTCTTCTTCTATGTTATCATGGCGGTCCGCAAACAAACGTTTAAAGTGCATGACACCACCTACTGTGCTGGAATGTACGATCAATCATGATCTGTCCAATTTTGTACTACCATGAAAATAAAATGTAAAACCAAATAAATCCCTACTAACTTCTACCACACCCTTCCCCCAAACCCCCCTACCCCATTAAACCTTATCTATATCATGCTGAAACACTCCACCCTTAGGATTGTTCAGCATGTCAACAACCATTTCAACAGTAACATCTGTTACCCCCATCTCCACAATAACCTTCAACCTGGCATTTCTGCTTTCCACAACCCGAGTCATATTGATAACCGTACCAATAAAAGCTATGACGTCAACTTTAGTCATTATCAAGTGTCCTTTGACACCACACATTCATGAGCGCAATATTTCTGAACAGGCCTTGAGACCATGCCAGGAACAGCAGAAGCACCAGTCCCGACAGTAGGTCCACTTGGTACAGGAACATCCATGTAAGCTCCATCAGTCTGCACTGTAGTTCTACCAATCTGTCTTACAGCCTCTGCATATGATACATCATGACTGACTCTATATCTCTGAGCCTCTCTAGCCCCTCTCTGCACCTGGCATCCACCAAATGCTGCACTGTGCTCTCCCCCACAATTACAACACTTAACCTTCACATTGCTTCCACATTCACCGTAATCATGTTTCCCTCCATACTTGGTACATCTTTTCTTTCCTTTACACATGTCCCATTCTTTGGCATTTAAAACACCGCAGTGCATATTAGACACATTCTCTAACATTGTAACTAAGGAATCCTATCTGTACTCTTCCCAGCAAAACATTCTCAAACCTCAGCATCACTGATAAGCTTTCACTTCTTTGACCCTCTTTCCTACTGATCAACCTTTTGGCCTCAATCACTCTGCCTCTCTTCACATTTTCTTTCATATAATCTATGGACATAGATATTGGAACCCCATTGATGACTCCCCTCAACCTAGCATAAGCACCAGGTTTTGCAGAACCTTTTCCATTTGCAGAATCTTCCCTTGCTGAGCCTGGCTACCACACAATATTAGCAATCTACCATTTCCAATTAACCGGGGTAGTTTAACTTCACCTATCTCTTCCTCTAAAGCATTAGTTAGTCAGATAGGGTGTAAATGAGGCCCTGTGGTCTCATCAAACACCATCACAACGTTCCACTCCGACACATTATGAATCTTACTTCCTACCGTGACCCACTTTTTGCTTTCAATACAAGACACTCCACCACTTTCAGTATCATGATCTCTCTTCTTCCTATGTCTTTCCACTACAGACCATTCAGATCCTTGACTCTCATCCTCCCACTCCATATCATCAGAACGGTCACCCATATTGATCGCACTCCAGCACAGCTGTTGGTTCTCCAACCTTCTCTCCATTTCTTCCATTTCGTCCACACTACTCGCCACCATTTTCCTTCTATGCGGTCTCCCGGCCGAGCCAGGCATCTTCCCTCAACTCGCCCCTGGACAAAAGAGGGGAGCTAGCTATAACCACTGGCTATAACTTGTTGATGGCTCTCTTTACATTAAAAACAAAAATCTTGTGCCACGCAACAGGAAGTGGTCAGAGGCCACGATTCAACAATCAACAGTTCTATAATTTTTGTCAAAAGGTCTATACTACTACTACTACTACAAAGTCATTTCTGAAGATTATAATTTATTTCATGTGATTAGTGATTATTTACACTGAACAAAAATTTAAACGCAACAGGTAAAGTGTTGGTCCCATTTTCAAAGCTTATTTCTCTATTTTTTAGCACAAATTTGTTTACATCCCTGTTAGTGAGCATTTGTCCTTTGCCCAGTGCTTAATTTGTAAATCGGGAGGTCTCGGAACACATAGTAAGCACGAGAGGAGAGGAGAGGAGAGGAGGAGGGGGGGGGGGGTGGGGGGGGGGTTATCCGGGGGGCTCTGAGTTACCGGAACACATAGTAAGCACGAGAGGAGGGGGGGGGGCTTATCCGGGGGGCTTTGAGTTACCGGAACACGTTGAGGGGAAAAAAGTGTCAAACACAACGTAGCATGCCAAGTAGCCTACTATCTATGGTGGTGAAACGGACAGCACTCTCCAAGGTGCTAATTAATTCAAAGCATTTTAGACGTCACTGCAGTATGTCCACATACTTGAGTATAGCTGCGGGGCTTACACAAATCCGAATTTCTTATAGCCTAATTTTCGAGACATCAATGTACAGCAACATTTTTAGACGACACTGCAGAACACCCGCCATATGCACACATACTCCGCTGTGGGGCTTACAAGACCTGCATTTCATATAATTTTCAAGACATCAATGTAGCCGTAGAACAAATATCCCAATATCGGAATATAACTTCAAATAAAATAAATCGATGTAGGCTACAGCAGAACACACACATGAGAATATATATGCCTCCTGCCTATGTGATAATATGAAGCACATATTTAGATTACAAACTTGTTCTGTGCTGTGAAGGTAAAGGAAGAAAAATGTCCTACCGTAGTTTTCAAAACCTCCCACAATGACTCTCCCCATGTCAAGTCCTGAGAGTCAACTTCTTGCTCAATGCCATGAGCGGGCATGTGGCTGTGATGTTTAGCCTCCTAAGGCTGTTCTGAAGACTCTAACTGTAGTGTCTATTTAAAAAAAAAAAATTTAACCTGGCTTGCTGCCACCAAATGCGCCATTCAGGCATGTTCAAAAACCTTTTTTCTGAGGGCTCTTTGTTTTTTGTTTTTTTTACGTCTGATGCATATGATGTTCATTTACTCTACATTCCACCCATTCTTTTGCTAGTTTAATCCATCCAGTCATTTCTAGACCCAAGCTCCCTACCTTTTTGCATGTTGTCAAGCCCAACTTTGAATTCTGCATGACAAGCCAGGGGTTATAAGTTTGCTTGTTCTTGAACTGCAAATTGCACCTGCTCCGAGCACTTTGTTGGTGGATGCACTGCCCCCCTCGCCCCCAGTCTCCCTCTCCCGCTGAGTCTGACTCGCTAGTAGGCCTACTAGCTAGTGGAGGTGCCGGTGGTGATGCTGAACTGGCGGGATTAGCATCGCCATCAGGAACAGTTTGCCCCTCACTCCTCTCCTCCAGCACTGACAGTTCTCTGGCTCGTTCTGGGTTCGATACACCATCTTTCTCAGGATTTTTGGACTTGAAAAATGTCAAACTCGATTGTCTTTCCTTACACATTTTTTATTTGGCTTTCCCACGATTCAAATTCAGTAGGGAGACGACTAGACTAGGCTACGTTACGTGATTCCGTAGGGACCTCTTCACTAGCTGACCACCACTACCAAGACCTGTATCAATATCAGTTACTTACCCCACTGGCCCTCCCCATAACCTATATGTACGAATAAGAGAGCAGGTCTGGAATCAGTGTGGCAGGATAGGATGATTACATAGAAGGATCACCGCGCTTTTACATTATGGTCTTTCTGGGGGGTGGGAGAAATAACGTGGAGGCAACGTGATTTAATGCTTATCGCTTTTATTAGAATGTCTACAGTGCGAACAGTGAAATAATTAATAAATCATGCCGCGAGAGGTACCGGATCTGGGCAAATAGGTGCCGGAAAAACTGTCAAATCTGAGAGGGCATCTGGCTCAAATTAAGCACTGCCTTTGCGAAGATAATCCATCCACCTGACAGGTGTGGCATACATATCAAGAAGCTGATTAAACAGCATGATCATTACACAGGTGCTCATTAAAAGGCCACTTTTAAAATGTGTGGTTTTGTCAAAAAACACAATGCCCCAGATGTCTCAAGTTTTGAGGGAGCATGCAATTGGCATGCTGACTGCAGGAATGTCCACCAGAGCTGTTGCCAGAGAATGTAATGTTAATTTCTCTCCCATAAACTGCCTCCAAAATAGTTTTAGCGAATTTGGCAGTACTTCCAACCGGCCTCACAACCCCAGACCACGTGTAACCACACCAGCCCAGGACCTCCACATCCAGCTTCTGAGGAGTATTTTGTGGGGAAAAACTCATTCAGATTGGCTGGTCCTGGCTCCCCAGTGTGTGGGCCTAGGCCCACCCATGGCTGCACCCCTGCCCAGTCATGTGAAATCCATAGATTAGCGCCTAATGAATTTATTTCAATTGACTGATTTCCTTTATATGAACTATAACTCAGTAAAATCTTTGAAATAGTTGCATGTTGCTTTTATAATTTTGTTAAGTATACATCTGTCCCTCATTTTAAGTTCAACCTTGTTACATGAACTGAACTCTCGTTTTAATATGGTGAAACTTCCTTTAAAAATATTTTCTTCAAAAGAAACATTGAACATAGTCAAACCATGAGCTGGTTCTACTTTTTTTGGCCATATGCTGGTGTTTTGTGGTGGAAAACTGACCGGGTCGAGTATAACACGTCAACCCTGTTACCCATAAAACATTTTATGGGTGAAGCTTGCATTCAATTGCCACTCCCGGTTGTACACAAATAGCTTCGAGTTACCACTGGCTAAATCTATGACGTTAAAATGCCTATTTACTCTGTTCCATCTGACTGTGTAATCCACTGTCTCATCAGCCCTAGACATTATCTCACATTTTCTTTTAGACTAACATTTTGTTTTCAACAGCGGAGATTTGTATAAACCTTGCTGTCTTTCTCTCCGACATTTGCAACATTGTTTCAATTTTCAAATTCGACCTCCAGCTGTCCAATAGTAGCCTAATGAACGTGTTGGGAGGCTTCGTCTTGGGCCTAACAACACCCGTGCCAATATATCCTCCAAACACAGGCTTCTCAGGCATTATCACTTAATTATAGGCACTTACTAAAGTATTTTAAAAAATTTACCTCTTGAGATGTGAAAACAAGTCAGTTTTATTACGTTTTCTTGTTTTTCAGTCAACAAAGAAAATGCAATCAACATTCACAGATGTGGCAGACATAAATAATATAATAAAAAATGAAACAACAGCATTATCAGTGATCATGTTAGATATTTCCAGCTTTAGCTGCGATAACTAGAACATAATTAGTTTTACAGCACCTTACACATCATGTATACAGACACATTTCCTTAATTACCACATTCACTCTGTCCAGTTTGAAATATAGTTGAGTAGTGGAGACCGAGTCTATCGAACCTGGGTTGTCTCTTGCTGAGGTCATAATTTAGCTTTTCAAGAGGAAGAAAGTCAAGAAACTGGTCAATCCACATTTTAAACGTAGGAGAGGAATCAGAAGCCCACATTTGGAGAATACATTTGAAAACATGTTTTTTTACAAAGTTGAACATGTGCTCTTTATGACAATGTTTTTTTTGACCAAGTTACACTTCTCAAAAGGCACAGAATTGGTAGAACGACCCGTTTGTATTTGGACGTGACTTGTCTGAATGGATGGGAGGTGTTGATGAACACTTCTGAATTTGAACCTCTCTCTCTCTTAGGGATGGAGTGAGAGACCCTAACTTCAGTTCGATCCTCTACGCTCTCAAGCTGTCCAATAATGCCAAAGTCTACTCAGGAGTGGTTCACTTCAAACCAAAGGTAGGCCTACAACACTAGCCTGGTACAGACTTATATTAACATATGCCCCTGGCCTGGTAGCTTTGGACAGGGTGTAGGTAGGCCTACTTAACTATACAGTGTGCCATGGGGATTCCAGGGTGTACAGCGCCACTTTATGGTGTTGCCAGTTAGGTTTAGCAGAGCCCCCACACACACACACACTGTGGTCCATTGTGTCTTATGGTCACATGTTAAGACGTGGAACTACTGACTCATAAGGGTCATTGGGTTACTGTTGTGTTCCTCAACCAGCTCACCAGTTGTGCGTGTGTGTCCCAAGTCCTGGTTCACGATCGGCCCACACCCTGTCCAGCTCAGCTTTTACAACCTGTAGCAACCTGGCAATCGATACCAACCACATCCTGGGGTGTGTGTTTCAGTATGTTACAGCGTCAACATTGTCGAAGCCAAACAGAAAGGGAAAAAAATAAGACTGAAAAAAATTACCAAATGACTCTGCTGTGATGGCAGATATAGGCATGGCACTAGACTAAAGAGACGGAGGATTGAATTTGACCCCTGTGTGTGTGTGTGTGTGTGTGTGTTGGTCTGCAGGTGAGGGAGTTCTGTCAGGACCAGTGGCAAGGACCCCGGGGAAAGGGGCGTGGCCAGAAGCAGCAGGGGGCGTCTAGTTCTTTTCCTGTTCAGAATGGAGGCCAGGTGAACGGGGTGGGGCAGAAGAATGGGGTGTGTGTGGCGCCCTCACCTGGCCCAGCCCAGACATCACACACCCCCAGGAGAGACTGGAGACTGGCCAATTACATCCTCAGGAAGTTCAACTCTGACAGGTGATTGGTCCAGACATGGAGCTGTTTGTCTTTACCTTTATTCTACATTCATCAGGTCCTTATGGATCCTCGGTGGCCCAATCCCAAATGGACCCCTAGACCCTATATGCCCTATGGACTGCCAGGATTTGATAGGTATATGCAATATGGTTAAACTTCCCCCTTTCAGTGAGCATGTGGAGTTATCATATTGCTCACACCTTTCAAATCCTCTCTGATCTCGGCCAGTGCATAGGGTCTAGGGTTCCACTTGGGATTGGGCCTCTGTGTAATGTGACTATCCTAACCCCTGACCCCTACCCCCTCAGAGCGGAGTTGATCTCAGACCGTGGCGGTATAAGCATCACTTCTGATCACGTTGTTGTAGACGGCCTGATCAAGTTCAGTCTGGAGAGTGAGACAGAGGTAAGACCAGACCTTTAACCCTGACTCTAACTCTGACCCTAATGCTGCGTTCATAACATCTCGTAAATTCCAGCATACGACTGGGAAAAATCCACTTGAACGCCCCTCCAACTGGTAATTACTAGTGGGAAACTCGTCGATCATCTCTGAACTCCGACTTCTCCCACATGAACTCTGAAGTCACATACTAAGTGAATTACCTCGATAACAGCATTTTCGGCAGTTAATTGCAACAACAAATCATTTGTTTTTTATAAATATCTATTCATATGGTTTTGAACACTAATTTTTGCCAGCATAATTGCTGTACTTTTAGTTTATGTTTGTCATATCAGCCAATTGGCGTTCTCGACAACTTAAAAGCACGTGAACGCACACAACTCGTTTCTCCCTGTTTACAAGTAGTATTTTGCGAGTTTCCCACTTGTTATGAACGCAGCATTACCCTAGCATCATTTAAATTGGGGACACACAGGGAACGCTCAGCACCCAACACCAGAGTTTTTCCCCACAAAGTCGACATGCAATTTATACTGGTGCGGCACATGCAAATCTAAAGTGATAGCAGGTCGGGCGACAAGATCTGGGAGAATGGGAATAAAAGGCATCCAACACGAGGTCAGACTGTTCTGAACTCTAATTCACATACAGTGGGGGAAAAAAGTATTTAGTCAGCCACCAATTGTGCAAGTTCTCCCACTTAAAAAGATGAGAGAGGCCTGTAATTTTCATCATAGGTACACGTCAACTATGACAGACAAAATGAGAAAAAATATCCAGAAAATCACATTGTAGGATTTTTTATGAATTTATTTGCTAATTATGGTGGAAAATAAGTATTTGGTCAATAACAAAAGTTTCTCAATACTTTGTTATATACCCTTTGTTGGCAATGACACAGGTCAAACGTTTTCTGTATGTCTTCACAAGGTTTTCACACACTGTTGGTGGTATTTTGGCCCATTCCTCCATGCATATCTCCTCTAGAGCAGTGATGTTTTGGGGCTGTCGCTGGGCAACACGGACTTTCAACTCCCTCCAAAGATTTTCTATGGGGTTGAGATCTGGAGACTGGCTAGGCCACTCCAGGACCTTGATGCTTCTTACGAAGCCACTCCTTCGTTGCCCGGGCGGTGTGTTTGGGATCATTGTCATGCTGAAAGACCCAGCCACGTTTCATCTTCAATGCCCTTGCTGATGGAAGGAGGTTTTCACTCAAAATCTCACGATACATGGCCCCATTCATGCTTTCCTTTACACGGATCAGTCGTCCTGGTCCCTTTGCAGAAAAACAGCCCCAAAGCATGATGTTTCCACCCCCATGCTTCACAGTAGGTATGGTGTTCTTTGGATGCAACTCAGCATTCTTTGTCCTCCAAACACGACGAGTTGAGTTTTTACCAAAAAGTTCTATTTTGGTTTCATCTGACCATATGACATTCTCCCAATCCTCTTCTGGATCATCCAAATGCACTCTAGCAAACTTCAGACGGGCCTGGACATGTACTGGCTTAAGCAGGGGGACACGTCTGGCACTGCAGGATTTGAGTCTCTGGCGGCGTAGTGTGTTACTGATGGTAGGCTTTGTTACTTTGGTCCCAGCTCTCTGCAGGTCATTCACTAGGTCCCCCTGTGTGGTTGTGGGATTTTTGCTCACCGCTCTTGTGATCATTTTGACCCCACGGGGTGAGATCTTGCGTGGAGCCCCAGATCGAGGGAGATTATCAGTGGTCTTGTATGTCTTCCATTTCCTAATAATTGCTCCCACAGTTGATTTCTTCAAACCAAGCTGCTTACATATTGCAGATTCAGTCTTCCCAGCCTGGTGCAGGTCTACAATTTTGTTTCTGGTGTCCTTTGACAGCTCTTTGGTCTTGGCCATAGTGGAGTGTGACTGTTTGAGGTTGTGGACAGGTGTCTTTTATACTGATAACAAGTTCAAACAGGTGCCATTTAATACAGGTAACGAGTGGAGGACAGAGGAGCCTCTTAAAGAAGAAGTTACAGGTCTGTGAGAGCCAGAAATCTTGCTTGTTTGTAGGTGACCAAATACTTATTTTCCACCATAATTTGCAAATAAATTAATAAAAAATCCTACAATGTGATTTTCTGGTTTTTTTTTCCTCAATTTGTCTGTCATAGTTGATGTGTACCTATGATGAAAATTACAGGCCTCTCTCATCTTTTTAAGTGGGATAACTTGCACAATTGGTGGCTGACTAAATACCTTTTTTCCCCACTGTATAAGAGACGGTAGTTAGTCGTCCCACATATGTAAATCTACTTTTACCCTAACCCTAAGACCTGACAGACCTGTGACAACATAGTAGCTGTTTTCTTTCAATGACTTTACAGGAGAAACTAACAAACTCCTCCCCTCCTCCACTCCCCTCCTTTTCTTCTCTCTCTCTCTCGTCCCCCCCCCCCCCCCCCCAGGTGTACGTAGTTCGTCTGTTCCTAAAGAACTCCTCCTCTAGTCCTCTCTCCTTCACCTACTACTCTGCTCTGCACAGGATGACCTGCTTCAACCTGCAGGACATGCACAAAGTCACCCGCAACAACCCTCTACAGCTGGGACCAGGCAAGACACGCACACATACGCACAGGCAGGGCCGGATTAAGAAATTGCTGTCTTGAATTCAAACAAACAATAGCCCAGGCCAATGAAGCGACACAAAGATTGTACAATATTAGGAGGCAGTATCTAGATCATAGGCTACTAAATACAATTTCCAGTGGCACACTAACTCACCTATGGCTTCATCTTCGTCATTCGGTGATGGCCGATGCGCTTGTCGTGGCAATAGCCTATCTCAAGATGAGCTACTTTGAAAGCAGTGCTGCTGTTAGTTACAAATTGGGAGTTGTTGAGAAAAAATTGGTTCTACAGTCAGATTAGTCATCTCTTTTCAGAAGTATGCATTTGCTTTCCAAACTGAATGTTTTTCCCACGATTGTATTTAGAAATCTGCAAAAGGCAAACCAACAGCTGCAACCAACCATATAAATAAAATCCATAGATGGCAGTTCAGATTCAAGACAGGACTGGCATCCATTGCTAATGTACACATGAGTTTAACAGTCAAATTGCCAGTGTAAGAGGGTACAAAACCCTTCTATGGATTATATATATATGGCCACAACACAACAAGTTGTAGCCTATATTTGGCGTGCATGCTGCCCAAACTGCTGCCTGTAAGCATACCGGTAACTGCCCAAATAAAGGAAACACTTGAGTAAACAAGGAATACAAAGTATATGTTATGGTGTGGGATGCATTTTCCTGGCATGGTTTAGGTTCACTTGTAGAATCTATGCCAAGGCGCATGAAGGTGTTTTGGCAACTCGTGGTGGCGCAACACCCTTTTAATGGACTTTATGTTGGTGCTATCTTAATTTTTGCAGATACCAGTATGTGCTTGTGATAAAACTTAATCCACCATTTTTTTTTTAATTATTGATCCTCTGTGGCTAAATTATGCTCTTTGGTGTATTTTGAACATTGAGAGCGGGTTCCTGTGGTTGTATTTTTAAAAAAAAAATAGTTTTTGCCTTATGGGCCACCTGAATCAATTGACCAGTCACATTTATTTATTATGCATTTCATTTAAATATTTTCTTTAATCAGTTACCCAATAAAGGCAGGGCCCCCCAATTACCCACAAGGGCGCCCTACCTCCTCTCCTCCCCCCATCTGATGATTAGCAGAGCGGCAGCAGGCAGTAGCAGGCTGTCTTAACTCATTGAGAGCGGGCTCCTGAGTCTTCCTGTGGTTGGCGGTTGCAATAAAACAATATAAAAGATATACTACATACAGGATATAATATATATATAGCGTAGAATCCCGTATTATCGGCATATTCAACAGCGTTTAAGAAATATATTACCTTCAAGTGTTATCTTGTGATCAAGCCTTCAATGTTTTGTGATTATTGGTGTCGTAAAAATGTTTGCTAACGGTTTAGCAATTAGCAAGTTTGACATTTCATTTGAAATATTACTGTTATCTGCTTTTGATAAGCGGTTTAGCAAAAAAATACGTCCCGTATTATCTGTATACGGCCCCCAGTTATTGGGCACCTTACTATTTTGTTCAATTACAAGATATATCCGTTTAATTTGTTGAAAAAAGAGACACCAACCACGTACCCGAAGTGTTTACTAGATAGTTGACTAGTTGGCTAGTCTTCCGGTAAAAAATAATTATTTGCCTGTCAACTTTTCATTGCGTAGCCCGGTGCGCCCTCTTGTGGATTCTTAAAAAAAAAAATATTCACCAACATATTCAGTGTTGTAACCAAATGAAATATGAGTATTAATAATTTACATCAAATACACTTTAATTTCAGTTATGTGCATTAACATAAAACAATGAAAACACTGTTGGAGTTTGTGTTGCAGAGGTGCACTTGGAAAGTAAAGGAAGAAATACACAAGATGGGTTCAATAAATATATATATTATATTTTAGACATTTTATTTTTTTGAACAAATAAATAATTTCATATGAACACAAACAAAACAAACAATTAAATCTCGACCTCCATCCCTATATTGTCACAAAAACACAATAAAAATCCAGCTCCACCGCTACCTCTTGATCCCACTGCACACACCTGCAGTGGAACCAGTGCTGGCAAAAGTCACAGCACACCCATGGCACCTCGGATCTACACCTGAGAGGAGCTTGCAGGCGGATCACGCTCCCCGCAGCGAGCACAGCAGGTGGTGTCTCCTTTTATAAAAAATTAAATAATAATACAAATTGATTAATAGGGTTTTGCAAAATGTAGAAGTTCTTCAACAACAATAGTAATTGATACAACTGAGAGAGCGAGAAAAACAGATTATGAAGTACCTGAGAGTGGTGCCATGGGTGGTGTGACAGATGTGACCGGTGTAGCTTTTCTCTTCCTTTTCTGTGCTGCAGTTTGAGAAAAAGTAGTGTTAGACAGAGCATGTTGCATGAAAACCCTTTTCAACTTTTTTACATCAATACCTCTGGAGGAAGCTGCAGAGGTTTTGGAGGAGGCGGAGATGACTTGAGGGCTCCTCCAAAACCTCTGCTTACAACATAGTGGTGATTGAACATTGATTGGGTGATCACAATTGATTGATTGGGTGATCACAATTGATTGGTCGAATAAATCACCATCAGTCACTGATTACAACACTGGCTAACTGTGATACTTTATGAGCCCATAAGTGGTGGTGGAACTGTTACTGCTGACATTTGAATACCACCACCTCCACAGGTAAACACATGTTAAATTACTAAAAAATGACTGTTTGTTATCTGTTTTATAAAACAGCAATGTAAAACACATATACATACATATATATACATATATACATATATATATATATATATATATATATATATATATGTATATATATGTATATATATATATATATGTATGTATATGTGTTTTACATTGCTGTTTTATAAAACAGATAACAAACAGTCATTTTTTAGTAATTTAACATGTGTTTACCTGTGGAGGTGGTGGTATTCAAATTGCAGGGGGCAGGGACACCAGACGAGGCTGCTATGGTGGTGTGACCAGGGGAGACGGAGGAGGCAGTTGGTCCAGAGGAGGCCGTGTTGGTGGTGACAGACATGGGGGGTGGTGTGCATTGGGGTGGTGGTGGACAAAACCGCCGACGATGGCTTGGAGGAGCTGGTGTTTGTAATGGTGGGGTTGAGGGGCCGACGATGGTGTGGCCGGGAGAGTAGGCATGTGGCCTTCTTCTGCAGCTGGGGACTCCGGCGGCTCCTACAGGTGTTGCACACTGGGAGGCACTGGCAGTGGTGATGCAGCTGTCAGGAGTGGTTCCAGCAGGGGGTCCAGCAGAGGCGATGGCGTCAATGGTCTCATCCATGGCAGCCCTCTCCTGTGCCCTCTGTGTTCTGAGGGCTGCCCGACGCTCTTTCTCCTCTGCCCCGGCCCTCTCCTTCTCACCCCTCTCCTGCCACTGACGCGTGTATTCCTCCCCGGTGAGGCATGTGGCGACCACAGGGAGTCTTCTGTATCGGTCCAGCCGATACTTCAGGACAGTAAGGATGTGCCCCAGGTCCTTCGCTATCAGCCCCCCCTCTATTAGGGGGTGCTCTTCTAGAGCTAGGGATAGGACTGGAGCAGCGACTGGGGCAGGGGCTGAGGGTCCTCCTGTGGTCGCTGGGGAGGAGGTGCTGATGGATGGCACAGTGCTGCTGGTTCCAGTAGATGCGGTGTTGGGACCCGGTAGGGTCCGAGACGGCATTAAACGGGACCCTTCAATGGCTGAAGGGTCAAAAGGGAAGAGGCCACACTTCTTAAACCCTTCCACCACATAGCGCATGTCCTTGCATCGCTGGTACGGGTAGCGGAATACTCTGGCAAATTCTGATTTGTTTACCATGTAGGAGTGGTCAAAATGGCTAAGGTCTCCAGCTACCTTGGAGAACTCAGCCTTTAAAGGGCCAAAGTATGCCACGTCCAGCGGCTGCAGGACATGGGTGCAGTGTGGTGGAAGACAAAGAAGTATAACCCCTTCCCTTAGTGCCACCGCGAGCACTTCCGGGTCCATGTGGCTCTTGTGCCCATCGAAGAAGAGAAGGAGAGGGCGCTCTTTCACTGCATACTTAATGAAGTGCTGAAACCACTTCCTGAACAGGTCCCCGTCAATGTAGCCACTGCTTGACCGTCCATACAAGGCTTGGGGGGGTCCTCCCAGTGTGTAGTGGCCACCGGGGAAACACTTGGGGTAGATGATAAACGGGGGGACGTCCTCCCCAGTTGCGTTGAAGCAGGCCAGCACTGTGATGTGCTCCTTGGTCCCCGGAGCCTGCTGGAACACGTGTTTTGCGCCCCGGGGAGCCAGCACTTTGTGCCTGCTCTGGTCGCTACGAAACCCAGACTCATCGCAGTTATAGATTTGTCTGGGTTTCTCCCTCAACCCACTCTCCTCCAAGTGCTTCTCATAAGAAGTGAAGAAGGTGTCCATCGTCGGACGTGTGGCACACTCAGCTCTCCCCCTATCCAGGGTGTCCGGCCTCCTCATGCTTAGGTTCTTGTGCCTCCTCCTGAACATTTCCCACCACCTCTTCCCCAGTGGTGGGATTGTTTCCCCTGGGTGCCGAAACCTACAATAGAATATATAATTGTCCATCCAAGATGAAAATGTTTGTTTTGGCATCACCATACACATCCACATTTACATCACACACATTGAGAACAGTCAGTCCACCAATCTACATACATAAACACATAGAACACCAAATACCTGCGTATTTTGTCGGCGTATTTCATCAGCCTCTGTCTGGTGAAGGGGAACCCATGGCTGGCGCAGTAGATACAGTACTGCACCAGAGACTTTTCATCCTCTGGTGCAAGCAATGTGGGTGGTCCACTGCGACAACCATGGGTCACCCGGCCGCTCAGCCTGTCCGCCAGCGTCTGCCGAGGTACACCATGCACCTTGGTAGATAAGAAAAGAAAACTGTTACTAGCAGATAAAATTCACATACACATGGTAATCTCCTAAAAACAAAAGATGCCTAACCTTGGCAGCCTGGCGGATAGCCATCCCTGCCCCGCAGTCCTCCATGGCATGGAACATGTCCACCTCACTCCACTGCTTCCTCTTGACTTTCTCCATGCTGCAGTGGTAAATACATGTAGCTAAGTAACTTGGCATACTATACACATTTTAGAAAGATAACTCAATCTGAATATGTATAAACATTTACATTTCAAAGCTAAGGCATTGAAAGGTGATGAAAGTTTTCACAATAACTAAAAGTGTACCCATATTTTTTGTTTGATGTTATCTGTAATGAAAATTTGTGTCCCAATTAGTGTAATATTGATGCATACATTGTACCATTTAACTAAATACTGCCTCTATGTAGCTGTTGTAAGATGAAACATAGCCAACAGTGATAGGTGTTGAAAAGTTCATGGTTCAAAGTTCCAAATACATCTTTGCAGATTGTGCAAAACGCCTCCGTCAGAGGACTCCAATTTTGATACGGTAAAGCTTGACAACATGCAGCTGTTTTCGTGATATGTATTATCTAACACTTACAATTTATTTCCTTTTTGCTTACTTAGCAGTTCTATCAACATTTAGCAACTAAGATAGCAACATTAGAAAATCCGTTAGCTATATTTCAGAGGTAAAAAGTTGGATATTAAATTAGGTGTGGTCTGTCGCGCAGTCGAATTTTACAATATGCAGCGTGTTCCACAAAATGTGTACATATAACTTTTTTGAAAACTCTCAAAACCTAACTTAACTTACATAAATTGCACTGAAAATCGGTGGTCAGCTAGCTAAAAGGGTGTCGTTAGTCACAAAACGTACCGTTATTTTTCAGTCCATTGAAATGTTGAGCTCGAGGTGATTCAGTCCTCCAACCGCTAGAGAGTGTCCGAGGTCAGGGGGTGTCTGATGTTTGGGGAAAATTAGCTACTATATATAGGCAGGCACACACGCAAAATCACCCGCAACAACCCTCTACAGCTCCAACCAGGCAAGAGTTACACAACCCAAATAGCTCCCTCAGCCTTCATTTTGGCGCCAACCCTTCAATGTTTACAGTTCTGTCGGGTCTAGACAGCTATAAGTGGTGAAGTTTCCACCATATTGCTAACACCTTACCGATCTACAAGCATTAAAGGGTTAGGGCCAAAAGAAGGCTCAGGGAGCCTGACACATGCTGGTGCACACACACACACACACACACACACACACACACACACTCTCTCTTCTAATGTTATTAACCCCCTCCCTCCCTCTCTTCTCTCCCTCCCTCTCTCTCTCCTCCCCAGGTGACCAGTATGAGGTGCAGCTCCAGTTCCGGTCCAGCCTCCTGGGTTTCTATCCAGCCACTCTGGTCTTTGAGTTTAAACCCTCCCTCTCCTCCTCTCCTGCCTTCCACCTGCTGCGGTTCATCGAGGCCCAGTATGTGACGGGGTTGGCCAGGGAGCTGGCCCCGACTGCGCCCTACCGACCTAGAGCTATCATCAGCGCTACAGCTTCTCTGCCTTACACTGTAGAGGACGGGGAACCACCTGAGAGGTAGGTAACACACACACCTGGTAACACACATCTGGCAGAACACACACACACTTGATAAACACCTTATAGACCCTGAACCGTTACCTCTACAGCCTATCTGCTTTACAGGGAGAACCACCTGAGCGGTAACACACACCTGAGCAGACAGATACTTTTTTTTAAACCCTGACTCTCTCTCTCTCTCTCTCCCTGGTTCACCCTGGTCCACCACTAACACTCTTCTCCTCTCTCCGCCTCTCCCCATCAGTCTCTCAGCCAACAGCCCATAGCCCATGGTGCACCTCCAAGACGACTATGTTCCAGACCCTAACCCTAACGTGTGTGTGTGTTCAGTCTCTCAGCCAACAACCTGAAGCCCATGGTGCGTCTCCAGGACTACAAGGTTCCAGGATATGTCAGAGATCTGATCAAGTTCCTCAATGGATACTACTCCTCCTCTACTCCTTTACTGGATGCTCAGTGAGTACCTCCTCCTGTCTGTAGATCATCCTGCCGGTGTACAATATGGGTGTTGTGAATGTCTCTTCTCTCTACTTTCTCTCTCTCTCTTCCTCCCCCTCTTCCCCCAGGTCTGTCCTAGAGTCAGGTCTGAGTAGAGAGAATTACTCTAAACGGTTCCAGCTGCTGCTGTATCTGGAGGAGCTACAGATGGAGGTGGACATTAAGAGATACAACAAGCCCAACACTCCCATGGTCAGAGACAAGACCAACAAGAAACTACTGGTGCTAGAGGTACACACAAACACAGATGCACGCACACATGGTCAGAGACAAGACCAACAAGACTGGTGCTGCAGATCAGGACACACACACACACACAAAAACAAACACTAGGAACGTAGCTCCTCCTCTACTAGATGGTGCAGGGTTTATCTCCAGCCCAGTGTGTTGTGTGCTCCTGCAGGTACCAGGTGTGTCAGAGAACCGTCCGTCTGTCCTGCGGGGCGACTCCTTCCTGGTGACGAGGTCAGATGACGCTAATAAGCGGGACGTGGTCAAATACCGTGGTTACGTCCACCGTGTGGAGCTGGACTCCGTCAAACTGGGATTCAACAGCAAGTAAGGACATGATTGGAGGAGGCTGCTTCCTGAAGGGATCTTATTAGTCAATAGCTCTCTCTATTCATGGTTACCATGGTTCTCTGGTTACATTCTGATTCTCTACTCTTTCTTCAAAAGTGTGCACTCGTTCACTCCACCTCATGCATTTAAAAGCATTGGATTAGTGCAAGCATGGCTGGAGGGAGTTTCCACCATATTCCTTACACCAGTTAATTCCTTTTACACTGCTACCCTGACCCCTCACACTAAATTATTACCTTGCTCTGTCGTTTGTTACAGACTTTAGTCTGAATCTGCCATCATTGAAAGTCGTTTGGGTGACGTCGTTTGCGGTGAAAACAAGGTCATCAGCGATTGGATCGTCTCTAACCAATCACAGTATCAAAGCCAATAACGTACTTCGAAAACGCAGCTTTACCCACGTGTGTTCTGGCTATGGCCCAACACATCAGTTTCTGGAACCAATCAGACAGCCCAAATGTGTTCACATTCAGTGAAGGGTCTAAAACATTCGTCTGTGGGCGTGGCATAGTGTTTGAACGGATTAAGGATTCTGAGTAGCCAGGCAAGTACACTTCGGGGGAGAAGGGCTGAGAATCGGAATGTAGCCTCTGTCTCTCTATCCCCCCAACCTTCCCCCTCCAGGTTGCTGTCCTCCTTCGTGGATGGTCTGAGGTTTGATGTGGAGTTCACAATGAACCGTCTGACCACTAGGCTTCAGCAGAGAGCAACAGAGCTGGCTGACAGACACAGCCTGGGGAACGTACTGTTCCCCTCTGGAGATCAAACTATCAAACTACCCAAAAAACAACCTCTCAAGTGAGCTCACACCACCCATCTGCCCGACCCACACTTCCTTTTTGACCTTTGACCACCGAGCCTTACACACTAACCCTTATCCAAAAACCCTGATATATAACCCCTCTCTCTCTCTCTCTCTCTCTCTCTCTCTATGTCCCTCTTTCTCTCTCTCCACCTCCCCCTCTCCCTAGGTTATATGACAAGGCTCTAGAGCAGAACCCAGAACAGTACACAGCAGTCCAGAACATCGTAGCTGGATCCTCCCGACCGGCTCCTTACCTGGTGTTTGGACCACCTGGGACAGGTAATATATGTTAGTGTGTGTGTGTGTGTGTGTGTGTGTGTGTGTGGGTGTTAACGAACTCAGTTAAAGTGTATGTTTTATTAGTCGTATGTTCGGAATACGCATGGTACTGCATATACATCGTCCAACGAAATGCTTACTTGCAGGTTCCTTCTCGACAATGCAACAAGAATAAGAAATAATAAAAGATAAGAATACGAACATAAAGTAAATGGCAGTAGAATAGAATAAACATTTTAGCATAAGTATAATACAGGAAGGCACAATTTATAGTCCAATATTTACATGTATATTGGGGATGGGGGGGGGGGGGGGCAAGTGTACTTATAAATTGAGCAGTAAAGTAAGAGTCTGGTAGCAGTAGTTGTGGTGTGTGTGTGTGCATGAGTGAGTGCATGTGTGCTAAGGTGCAGAGAATCCGAGCAGGTGGTCAGTCCAGTTCAAGTGTTCAGGAGTCTGATGGCTGCTGACAGTAAGGAAGAGAACAGCTCGTTTCTAGGATGTGTGGGGTCGTTGATGATGCTGCGTGCCTTCCTCAAGCACCGTTTTGATTAGATGTCCTGGATGGGTGGGAGCACAGTCCCAGTGATGTACTGGGCAGTCTTCACCACCCGCTGGAGGGCCTTGTGGATGGAGCAATTCCTGTACCAGGCCGTGATGCAACCGGTCAGACACCTTAGGAAGTAGAGACTCTTGACAAGAGTGGTGGTGCTGTCCATAACAAGACACCGGTGAACTTAAAATATGTGACTCTCTACTGCAGTCCAATTGATGTGGATCAGGGAATGTTCCCTCTTCTGCTTCCTGAAGTCAACTGACATTGAGGGAGAGGTTGTTGTCATGACACCACAATGTCAATTCACTTACCTCCTCCTATAGGCTGACTCATCGTTGTATTTGGTTATCAGGCCTACATCCGTGGTGTCGTCAGCGAACTTGATGATGGAGTTGGTGTCGTGCAAAGCCACGCAGTTGTGGGTGAACATGGAGTACAGTAGAGGACTGAGGGCACACCCGTGGGGCGGGCCCCTGGGTTAAGAGTCAGTGTGGAGGAGGTGTTGTTGCCAATCCTCACAGCCTGTGGTCTGCTCGTCAGGAAGTCCAGGATCCAGTTGCAGAGGGTGGTGTCCAGACCCAGGGCTCTGCGCTTGGTGTCGAGTTTGGAGGGAACAATAGTGTTGAATGCTGAACTGTAGTAAATTAACAGCATTCTCACATAGATGTTCCTCTTGTCCAGATTGATGTGTTACGGCCATGTGGGACGATGATGGTCTTCTTAAAGCAGGTGGGACTACAGCCTGGGACAGGGGCAGGTTGAGAAGATGCCCTCCAGCTGGTCAGCACACACTCTTGAGGACGCGACCAGGGATGCCATCTAGGCCGGCAGCTTTGTGAGGGATTCACTCTTTTGATAGTTTTCCTCATGTCAGCCTCAGAGACAGAAAGCACCTGGTCGTCCAGAGCAGCGAGGGTCTTCCTGGATGGCTCAGTGTTGTCTGCCTCGAAGCGAGCATAGAATGTGTTAAGTTCGTCTGGGAGGGAGGCTTCAGCGGGTACCGCCTAGCTGGATTTTCCTTTGTAGTCTGTGATGTCTGTAGTCCTTGCCACATGCGACGCGAGTCTGAGTTTTCGCACATCAATTCAAGTTTGAGTCTGTATTGTCTTTTTGCATCCCCGATTTGCAGAGCTCGTACCTGCTTGCCTTGTACGCGTCGCACGCCACCTCATCAGGGTTAATTCTACTTCAATGCTGCAGTACGGGCTCTCAGCATTGTACAGATATCTCCATTCATCCAGGGTTTTTGGTTGGGGTAAAGTAATAATTAACGCAAAAATAGCCATAAAAAAGCAAAGTCGAGCAGGAACCGGCAAGACGCGTGCCCTCCTCAGCATCGCCATCTTTTATACTAAACAGAAATATAAATGCAACAGACAAAGTGATTTCCTTCTATGAACTGTAATTCAGTAAATTCTTTGAAATGGTTGCATGTTGCGTTTATATTTTTGTTCAGTAGATTTTATTTTTGCCTTGTGGTTAGAGTGTCTGCCCTGAGATTGAAAAGTTGGGAGTTCGATCCCCGGCTTCCATACCAAAGAATGTAAATGGGACCCGATGCGTCTCTGCTTGGCACTCAGCATTAAGGATAGATTAAGGAGATAGTAAGACGCTGCGATAGACTAGCTTCCTGTCCAGGGGATGTAATTGTACATCAAGCTGCCTCACACTACAAAAACAGGAGACGGTCTCATGCCTTTATGCGCAGTTCTGACTTACTTATGCTGTGTGTGTGTTTGTTCCCCCCAGGTAAGACTGTGACGGTGGTTGAAGCTATCAAACAGGTGCTGAAGACACAGGCCCACGCCCACATCCTGGCGTGTGCTCCGTCCAATAGCGCGGCAGACCTGCTGGCTCTGAAGCTTCTACAACACCTGGAACACAGGAAGCTGTTCCGGATGTATGCCGCGTCCCGTAACCCTAATGATGTGCCCAATGAAATACGGGTGGGTATGTATGTATGTATGTATGTATGTATGTATGTATGTATGTATGTATGTATGTATGTATGTGTGTGTGTGTGTGTGTGTGTGTGTGTGTGTGTGTGTGTGTGTGTGTGTGTGTGTGTGTGTGTGTGTGTGTGTGTGTGTGTGTGTGTGTGTGTGTGTGTGTGTGTGTGTGTATCAGTGTGAGGTTTGTATTCTGTGTGTGTAACACGTCTCTCGTGTGTGTGTCTCTACAGGCCTGCTGTAACCTGGATCAAGATTGCTTTGTGTTTCCCTGTAAAGAGGAACTGATGAAGTACAGCGTCATGGTCACCACCCTAATCACTGCCGGACGGTAAGGATAGCCACTAGCCGCTAACACCGGAGTTCCCCATAGACCAGTGGTAACCAACATTTTCTGAGTCAAGATCACTTTCGCAGTCAAAAAGCAAGCCAATATCTACTGTTCAGTTGTTTTTGTTTTTTTACATGACTTAAATGTAAGCCTATGCAACATTAACCTAATAAAAACAGTTCTGTAGGAGAATGAGCCTAATACTATCACAGCATATTGGCTACAGTGAGGGAAAAAAGTATTTGATCCCCTGCTGATTTTGTACGTTTGCCCACTGACAAAGACATATCAGTCTATAATTTTAATGGTAGGTTTATTTGAACAGTGAGAGACAGAATAACAACAACAAAAATTCAGAAAAACGCACGTCAAAAATTTTATAAATTGATTTGTATTTTAATGAGGGAAATAAGTATTTGACCCCTCTGCAAAACATGACTTAGTACTTGGTGGCAAAACCCTTGTTGGCAATCACAGAGGTCAGACGTTTCTTGTAGTTGGCCACCAGGTTCGCACATATCTCAGGAGGGATTTTGTCCCACTCCTCTTTGCAGATCTTCTCCAAGTCATTAAGGTTTCGAGGCTGACGTTTGGCAACTCGAACCTTCCGCTCCCTCCACATATTTTCGATGGGATTATGGTCTGGACACTGGCTAGGCCACTCCAGGACCTTAATGTGCTTCTTCTTGAGCCACTCCTTTGTTGCCTTGGCCGTGTGTTTTGGGTCATTGTCATGCTGGAATACCCATCCACGACCCATTTTCAATGCCCTGGCTGAGGGAAGGAGGTACTCACCCAAGATTTGACGGTACATGGCCCCGTCCATCGTCCCTTTTGATGCGGTGAAGTTGTCCTGTCCCCTTAGCAGAAAAACACCCCCAAAGCATAATGTTTCCACCTCCATGTTTGACGGTGGGGATGGTGTTCTTGGGGTCATAGGCAGCATTCCTCCTCCTCCAAACACGGCGAGTTGAGTTGATGCCAAAGAGCTCGATTTTGGTCTCATCTGACCACAACACTTTCACCCAGTTCTCATCTGAATCATTCAGATGTTCATTGGCAAACTTCAGACGGCCCTGTATATGTGCTTTCTTGAGCAGGGGGACCTTGCGGGCGCTGCAGGATTTCAGTCCTTCACGGCGTAGAGTGTTACCAATTGTTTTCTTGGTGACTATGGTCCCAGCTGCCTTGAGATCATTGACAAGATCCTCCCGTGTAGTTCTGGGCTGATTCCTCACCGTTCTCATGATCATTGCAACTCCACGAGGTGAGATCTTGCATGGAGCCCCAGGCCGAGGGAGATTGACAGTTCTTTTGTGTTTCTTCCATTTGCGAATAATCGCACCAACTGTTGTCACCTTCTCACCAAGCTGCTTGGCGATTGTCTTGTAGTCCATTCCAGCCTTGTGTAGGTCTACAATCTTGTCCCTGACATCCTTGGAGAGCTCTTTGGTCTTGGCCATAGTGGAGAGTTTGGAATCTGATTGATTCCTTCTGTGGACAGGTGTCTTTTATACAGGTAACAAACTGAGATTATGAGCACTCCCTTTAAGAGTGTGCTCCTAATCTCAGCTCGTTACCTGTATAAAAGACACCTGGGAGCCAGAAGTCTTTCTGATTGAGAGGGGGTCAAATACTTATTTCCCTCATTTAAAATGCAAATCAATTTATAACATTTTTGACATGCGTTTTTCTGGATTTTGTTGTAATTCTGTCTCTCAAATAAACCTACCATTAAAATTATAGACTGATCATTTATTTGTCAGTGGGCAAACGTACAAAATCAGCAGGGGATCAAATACTTTTTTCCCTCACTGTACATGCTTGGCCTGCCATCATTTTTCTTCTCAGACCATATATACAGTATATATTTAAAAACTCAAGTTTTGATATCAAAATAGATCAGTTGTTGAATCACTTGCGAGGCACAGCTGAAGAAAAATGTAAATAATTTGCCTTTTTATTTTACTGGACTGATGGTACCTGCATCTGATGGTCAGTCTCAGCAGAGCGAAGGAGAGAGCAGCACAGTGTCTGCCTCTCACGGTCCCTGCTCTCTCCTTTCCTCCGGTGAGACTGGCCAGAGAGAGGGGACACGTCATCCACCTGATGGCGACACTTGAGTCGCAACGTTGTTCCTATGATCAGAAGAAGTGAAATATTCCTTGATATTAAAATAGACACAATGAGCTTCTAATAATAAAAATGCCTATCGCTACATCTTAGCTAATAATTAATTGCAGCTGCAGCACGAGTGGAAGTAGGGAGATGTGCATTTTATGTTTTTGTAAGTGTAGAATAAAAACGTAAACATGAACTCACTCATAAAAACAGCAGCTCTTTGCTGTATTCTTTTGATAGTTTCTCATTGGCCATGGTTTTAAACGTTATGAAATCTCGACTAGGCTAGTATCAGACTGTGCTGTGGGGTCATGGAAGATGTACTAGGCATTGTGATTTGAGCTGTCCGATTGGCCAGCGCAGTAGGCGCACTTGATTTAGCCACAGCTCCTGGTCCGCCGGGTAGGCAGAATTTGTTCCTTCAGACAAATTAAATGGTTCAACATGGGAACACTTTGGCTACCCGGCGCGCAGGGCTTCTGAATCAAGTGCACCTACTGCCAAAAGCGCAAGACGAATTAAAAAAGAAAAATGTTTGTTGATCGACTAGGAGTGCCTGAAGATCGCGATCGACCGGTTGGTGACTACTGCCATAGAAGGATGCTAATGCTAGGCTAATACTAGGAATCCCCATAGCGAGATACTAATGCTAAGCTAACTTTTGTCCTCCGTCTGTCTCGTGTATGTGTGTGTTCTCCAGGTTGGTGACAGGTGGTGTTCCTCTGGGTCATTTCAGTCACGTGTTTGTCGACGAGGCAGGACACGCTGTTGAAACAGAGACCATCATACCACTGGCTGGTGAGAGAGGGATGGATGAAGAGAAGGAGGGGGGAGGGGAGACAATGGCCGTGTTATAAACTGGGTGGTTCGAGCCCTGAATGCTGATAGGTTGAAAGCTGTGGTATATCAGACCGTATACCACAGGTATGACAAAACATTTATTTTTACTGTTCTAATTGCATTGGTAACCAGTTTATAATAGCAATAAGGCACCTCTGGGTTTGCGGTATATGGCCAATATACCACGGCTAATGGCTGTATCCAGGCACTCCGCATTGTCGTGCATAAGAACAGCCCTTAACCGTGGCATATTGGCTATATACCACACCCCCTCATGCCTTATTGCTTAAATGTATCATGGGTCAATTGTGACTGACGGACTGATTGACAAATAATAGTGAGTAGTTATTTATGATGGAAGGTGATTTGTAATCAGTCAGTCGGCAGTCACCTGCACTGTGTCGGCTGCAATGTCGAACAAGCCCAATAATTTAACTGTGTGCGTGTAGGGCTGCTCCAACCAGAGACGGGTCAGGTGGTTCTGGCTGGAGACCCTAAACAGCTGGGACCCATCCTCAGGTCTCCTCTGGCTCTGAAACACGGCATGGGTCAGTTCTTCTTCCTCTTCTTCCTCTCCCTTACTCCTTGAAAATCCTTTGACATAGAAGAGCAGATGGTAGAGGCCGCTATGATTCTGAGGACATTCTTTCCCCTTCTCTTTTAGGTGTGTCTCTGTTGGAGAGGCTGATGAAGGGTGTGAGTCTGTATCAGAAGGAGGAGGAGACAGGAGCGTTCAACAACTGCTACGTCACCAAACTACTGAGAAACTATAGGTATGTAAGCTCTCCAGATCAGGCTGGTTTAATGAGGCTAGCACGAGCACTTTGGGAGAAAAGGATGAGTGTTGGAACTAGGGAGGCAAATTTCGGTCAATTTTGCTGCAGACTAACCAACCCTCATTAACCTGTCAACAAATGGTTAAATTTTTTCCAAACAAGTAAAATGACGTGACCAACAGAAAATAATATGTGTGCATACTAGGAACTTAAATTGTTCATTAAGAGCTTAATGGCAACATGCAATAATAGCAAGCCTATTATCTAACAGTCAAAAGGCTATAGCCTATTATTGAACATGCAACTCCTGTAATGAAGCAGCAAAAAAAACGTCCTTTTCAAACGTTTGCCAAAAGGGAATTTGGGGGAAAACACTGCACTAAACAGCACACCTAATGCGAGCGGTTCCATATGTGACAGATGAAAATCTCCATTCAAAACTTAGAAAGAGGGGGAATCTAATAGCAACAACTAGAATGTGTTGCTAATATGACTAGGATTGTGCCTTTGGCTTCTGGACAATGTTAATATATGAAGACCAATAGAGTACGAGTCATAATACCCATACAACCTAGCAGTCAAACAAGGAAATGGTTCCAATCATTTTTCCACCATTCATTTCTCCCATAGGGGATTTTAGAAACACTTAAAATAAGGGCTGTGTTTAGTGTAGGCTTACCCTGGCGTGACGTTTTGATAACCGTGTAAATCTCTCTAGGACAAGGTGACTTCTCAATATATTCGCCTGTATTTACCCTCCAAAATAAAATGCTAATTAGCTGCTAATGTGGCTATCATAAAGAACTACAAATGCCATGATGATCTGTACGAGACTGCCGAATCGAGGCAAAGATAAGAATCTCTGGATGAACTATCTAATGTTATTACCTATACACTTGAATGGCAAATGGGAAGAAAGCTTTAATTACGAGTTGAGATTGAGAAATAAAAATAGCAATTTGTTATCGTGGCCATCAGCACAGTTTTTAACATGCGATTGCATTTGGAATTATTTGTTGCGCAATGACTGTGCTTACAAAAGGACAATTCACTCCAGTACAAGCGTTTTGAGTAGCTGCTATCGCGCTGTCTGACAGGTGATAGGCTATTCCGCTCCTCAAATTAGGTTCTGTATGCTGTGCACGTGATAAGATACATGACGACTAATAAAATACACACATGCCAATTGAATTATGCTAATTAACCTATAGACCGATAAGTATGACCAGTCAAATATATTTTTGTGGGTTAACCGTTAGCATCCCTAATTGAAACTCAGTGTGTTTCCTTTCATTCTCTTCCCTTCCCTTCCCCTCCCTCCCCAGGTCTCATCCCTCTATCCTGAAGGTGCCTAACGAGTTGTTCTATGAGGAGGAGCTGCAGGTGTTTGCTAACGAGATGATCCGGAACTCCTACTGCACCTGGGAACACCTGCCTCAGAAGGTACACACACACTGTATACACACTACACAGACAAACACACACACACGTGCGCTGAGGTCTCAGCGTAAAGCCCAACACCATTTAAACCACTAGGAGCACCATCGAGGACCACTTTGTAAATGAGTGTTTTAATTAATGCTTTCATGTGTCATCCTCTGGGATGAAATGCACATCTTGTGGTCCAAAATAAGACTTGATTAAATTTAATTAATCTTAATAGCCTGCAAAGCATTGGTTTACAGTGGGGGAAAAACGTATTTAGTCAGCCACCAATTGTGCAAGTTCTCCCACTTAAAAAGATGAGAGGCCTGTAATTTTCATCATAGGTACACGTCAACTATGACAGACAAATTGAGAAAAGAAAATCCAGAAAACCACATTGTAGGATTTTTTAATGAATTTATTTGCAAATTATGGTGGAAAATAAGTATTTGGTCAATAACAAAAGTTTCTCAATACTTTGTTATATACCCTTTGTTGGCAATGACACAGGTCAAACGTTTTCTGTAAGTCTTCACAAGGTTTTCACACACTGTTGCTGGTATTTTGGCCCATTCCTCCATGCAGATCTCCTCTAGAGCAGTGATGTTTTGGGGCTGTCGCTGGGCAACACGGACTTTCAACTCCCTCCAAAGATTTTCTATGGGGTTGAGATCTGGAGACTGGCTAGGCCACTCCAGGACCTTGAAATGCTTCTTACGAAGCCACTCCTTCATTGCCCGGGCGGTGTGTTTGGGATCATTGTCATGCTGAAAGACCCAGCCACGTTTCATCTTCAATGCCCTTGCTGATGGAAGGAGGTTTTCACTCAAAATCTCACGATACATGGCCCCATTCATTCTTTCCTTTACACGGATCAGTCGTCTTGGTCCCTTTGCAGAAAAACAGCCCCAAAGCATGATGTTTCTACCCCCATGCTTCACAGTAGGTATGGTGTTCTTTGGATGCAACTCAGCATTCTTTGTCCTCCAAACACGACGAGTTGAGTTTTTACCAAAAAGTTCTATTTTGGTTTCATCTGACCATATGACATTCTCCCAATCCTCTTCTGGATCATCCAAATGCACTCTAGCAAACTTCAGACGGGCCTGGACATGTACTGGCTTAAGCAGGGGGACATGTCTGGTACTGCAGGATTTGAGTCCCTGGCGGTGTAGTGTGTTACTGATGGTAGGCTTTGTTACTTTGGTCCCAGCTCTCTGCAGGTCATTCACTAGGTCCCCCCGTGTGGTTCTGGGATTTTTGCTCACCGTTCTTGTGATCATTTTGACCCCACGGGGTGAGATCTTGCGTGGAGCCCCAGATCGAGGGAGATTATCAGTGGTCTTGTATGTCTTCCATTTCCTAATAATTGCTCCCACAGTTGATTTCTTCAAACCAAGCTGCTTACATATTGCAGATTCAGTCTTCCCAGCCTGGTGCAGGTCTACAAGTTTGTTTCTGGTGTCCTTTGACAGCTCTTTGGTCTTGGCCATAGTGGAGTTTGGAGTGTGACTGTTTGAGGTTGTGAACAGGTGTCTTTTATACTGATAACAAGTTCAAACAGGTGCCATTAATACAGGTAACGAGTGGAGGACAGAGGAGCCTCTTAAAGAAGAAGTTACAGGTCTGTGAGAGCCAGAAATCTTGCTTGTTTGTAGGTGACCAAATACTTATTTTCCACCATAATTTGCAAATAAATTCATTAAAAATCCTACAATGTGATTTTCTGGATTTTTTTTCTCAATTTGTCTGTCATAGTTGACGTGTACCTATGATGAAAATTACAGGCCTCTCATCTTTTTAAGTGGGAGAACTTGCACAATTGGTGGCTGACTAAATACTTTTTTTCCCCACTGTACCTCCAGAATTTCCCGGTGGTGTTCCATGGTGTAGCTGGTCGTGATGAGCGAGAGGACACCAGTCCATCTTTCTTTAACGTGGCGGAGGTCGAGGTGCTGATGGACTACCTCAAGAAGCTGCTGCAGGGGCAGGGCAAGAGGGTCCTCGCCACAATCTCACCCAAAGACATCGGCATCATCGCCCCCTATAGGAAACAGGTGGGAATGCACCCTACAGGATATAATATGTACTGAACAAAAACAAAAACGAAACATGCAACAATTTCAAAGGTTTTACTGAGTTATGGTTTATATAAGGAAATCAGTCAATTTAAATAAATTAATTAGGCCCTAATCTATGGATTTTACATGACTGGGAATACAGATATGCATCTGTTGGTCACAGATAACTTTAAAAAAGGTAGGGTTGTAGATCAGAAAACCAGTCAGTATCTGGTGTGACCACCATTTTCCTCATGCAGCGAGACACATCTCCTTCACATAGAGTTGATCAGGCTGTTGATTGTGGCCTGTGGAATGTTGTCCCACTCCTCTTCAATGGCTGTGCGAAGTTGCTGGATATTGGCGTGAATTGGAACACAATGTCGTACACGTCGATCCAGAGCATCCCAAACATGCTCAATGGGTGACATGTTTGGTGAGTATGAAGGCCATGGAAGAACTGGGACATTTTCAGCTTCCAGGAATTGTGTACATACTGTATCCTTGCGACAGGGGCCGTGCATTATCATGCTGAAACATGAGGTGATGGCGGCGGATGAATGGCATGACAATGGGCTTCAGGATCTCGTCACAGTATCTTTGTGCATTCAAATTGCCATCGATAAAATGTAATTGTGTTCGTAGTCCATAGCTTAGCCTGCCCATACCATAACCCCACCGTCACAATGGGGCACTCTGTTTACAATGTTGACATTAGCAAACCGCTCGCCCACTTGACGCCATACACTTGGTCTGTGGTTGTACTGCCAAATTCTCTAAAATGACGTTTGAGGCGGCTTATGGTAGAGAAATTAACATTACATTATCTGGCAACAGCTCTGGTGGACATTCCTGCAGTCAGCATGCCAATTGCACGCTCCCTCAACTTGAGACATCTGTGGCTTTGTGTTGTGTGACAAAACTGCACATTTTAGAGTGGCCTTTTATTGTCCCAGCACAAGGTGCACCTGTGTAATGATCATGCTGTTTAATCAGCTTCTTGATATACCAGACCTGACAGGTTGATGAATTATCTTGGTAAATGATAAATGCTCACTAACAGGGATGTAAACACAATTGTGCACAAAATCTGAGAGAAATACGCTTTTTGTGCATATGGAACATTTCTGGGATTTTTTATTTCAGCTCATGAAACATGGGAACAAGACATTGTTGCATTTATTTTTGTTCAGTACAAATACAGTTGAAGTCGGAAGTTTACATACACTTAGGTTGGAGTCATTAACTCGTTTTTCAACCACTCCACATATTTCTTGTTAACAAACTATAGTTTTGGCAAGTCGGTTAGGACATCTACTTTGTGCATGCCACAAGTCATTTTTCCAACAATTGTTTACAGACAGATTATTTCACTTACAACTCACTGAAATCACAATTCCAGTGGGTCAGAAGCTTACAAATGGGTCTTGCAAATGGACAATGACCCCAAGCATACTTCCAAAGTTATGGCAAAATGGCTTAAGGACAACAAAGTCAAGGTATTGGAGTGGACATCAAAGCCCTGACCTCAATCCTATAGAACATTTGTGGGCAGAACTGAAAAAGCATGTGCGAGCAAGGAGGCCTACAAACCTGACTCAGTTACACCAGCTCTGTCAGGAGGAATGGGCCAAAATTCACCCAACTTATTGTGGGAAGCTTGTGGAAGGCTACCCGGAACGTTTGACCCAAGTTAAACAATTTAAAGGCAATACTACCAAATACTAATTGAGTGCATGTAAACTTCTGACCCACTGGGAATGTGATGAAAGAAATAAAAGCTGAAATATAATAATAGTAGAGAATTATTTGACATTTCACATTCTTAAAATAAAGTGGTGATCCTAACTGACCTAAGACAGATACTTTTTACTAGGATTAAATGTCAGGAATTGTGAAAAACTGTGTTTAAATGTATTTGGCTAAGGTGTATGTAAACTTCCGACTTCAACTTTAACTCTAACCCTATAGGACCAACAGCCTAACCCTATATAATGTATATAACCCTAACCATATAGAGGGCCTGGTCACCATATGACCCAGCGACATCTGCATCATCGCAACCTATAGAATACAGGTGGGAACCCACCCTATAGGATAAAAAATATATATATATACACACACACACACACACACACACACACACACACACACACACACACACACACACACACACACACAACTGGTCCAATGTTTTAGAACACCTACTCATTCAAGGGTTTTTCTTTATGTTTACTATTTTCTACATTGTAGATAATAGTGAAGACATCAAAACTATGAAATAACACATATGGAATCATTTAGTAACCAAAAAAGTGTTAAACATATCAAAATATATTTTATATATGAGATTCTTCAAAGTAGCCACCCTTTGCCTTGACAGCTTTGCACACTCTTGGCATTCTTTCAACCAGCTTCATGAGGAATGCTTTTCCAACAGTCTTGAAGGAGTTCCCAGATATGCTGAGCACTTGTTGGCTGCTTTTCCTTCACTCTGCCGTCCAACTCATCCCAAACCATCTCAATTGGGTTGAGGTCGGGTGATTGTGGAAGCGAGGTCATCTGATGCAGCACCATCACTCTCCTTCTTGGTCAAATAGCCCTTACACAACCTGTAGGTGTTTTGGGTCATTGTCCTGTTGAAAAACAAATGATAGTCCCACTAAGCGCAAACCAGATGGGATGGCGTATCGCTGCAGAATGCTGTGGTAGCCATGCTGGTTAAGTGTGCCTTGAATTCTAAATAAATCACAGACATTGTCACCAGCAAAGCACCCCCACACTATCGTAGCTCATATAGTGTTTGTATCTGTGTGAAGGTGGAGAAGATCCGTAAAGCCTTGAAGACGCTGGAGAAAGACTTCAAATCTACCAGCATCAAAGACCTGAAGGTATGGAGACATTACTAAATCAATCAATCTCTGTGTCTGTCTGTCTCTCTGTGTCTGGTCTGTCTCTGTCGCTGCAATTCCACGGTAACAGAGTGATGCTGAGACTTAGATTTTTCACTTTAAAATGTATGCCAAACAAAAACCAATGATTGCAAAGTTAAACAAACCACATTTACTTGTTTGGTAACAGAATGACGGCACCAACAGCACAAACCGTAATTCTGTTTTTCAAGTAAATGTGTTTTTCTACAATTTTCTGTGGAAATTGTTACAAGTAGTCCTTGTGCTAGAGATGTATGTTTAACTTGGCAATCATTGGTTTTTGTTTGACATACATTTTAAAGTGAAAGATCTGAGTCTTAAGCATCACTCTGTTACTGTGGAATTGTCCCTATCTCTTTCTCTCTCTTCTCACTACTGAATCTCTGTCAATCTGTTATCTTTAACCCTTTACACTTGTGGTAATAGGCCTATATTGATATGAGAAGTATATGCATACCCCCCACCAGGTCTCTGATCACTACTTTGTTTCCTTTTCTGTCTCCCTCTCCCCCAACCCTACCCACTCAGCCCCTACCCAGATGTTAATGCACTGTCGCTCTCTCTCTCCCACTACTCTCTCCTCTTCTATCCTATCATCTCTCCCTTCTGCTAAATCTCCCTCCTGTCTCCTGATTCTGCCTCTTCGACCCTACTCTCCTCCCTTTCCGCATCCGATGACACTGTCCCCTTTCCTCCCGTCCGGCTCGACCTATGACACTGTCCCCTTTCCGGCTCAACCCTCCCTTCCTGCTCCATGGCAGAGTGACTCATTGCATGCTTACAGAACAGGGCTGGGGAAGCTGAGCGAAAATGGAGGGAAACGAAATATCCGGAGGACCTATCATCCTTTCACTCCCTCCTCTATACCTTCTCTTCCTCTGTATCCGCTGCTAAAGCCACTTTCTATCACTCTAAATTTCAAGCTTCTGCCTCTAACCCTAGGAAACTATTTTCCACCTTCTCCCTCCTTAATCCTCCACCCCTCCTCCCTCTCTGCAGATGACATCATCAACCACTTTGAAAAGAAGGTTGATGACATCTGCCTCTCATTCACTCAGCATATTGAGTCCACTGGTCCCACTCACACAGAACTACCCTATGCCTTGACCTCTTTCTCCCGTCTCTCTCCAGAGGAAATGCTACGACTAGTGAGGTCGACAGTTTCCCCTTGAAGCTAGGACAGCAGAGTCCCTGCCCATCTTCTGAAAACACCTGAAACCCTACCTCTTCAGAGATTCTTAAATAATCCCACAGCACACCTTCTCACACCCCCTCCCCCCTCCCCACACCCTAACACTCACACTTTACTTTTTTCCCCCTTACTAGCTCTGACTTTGCTGATAGTTACTTTATTGAGGAAAAATGTACTTACTATGACTGATATGTGGTTGTCCCACATAGCTATTTTAAGATGAATGCAATAACTGTAAGTCGCTCTCGATAAGAGTGTCTGCTAAATGAGTAAAATGTAAATGTAAAATATAGCAATTGAAAGGGAACACTTTGGAGATTATGGGGAAATTATAAGACCAAAGGTGAGGACAGTTCACCTGACACAAGACTGAATCCAAAAATTACACTGTTGATTTTATGTGCAATTTATATTTAATGTACTTTTCGCAGCATTTGTCAAACAAATTCCCAAAAAAATGTCTGGATACATTCAGTAACATATTAAGAATATTCATGGGAAAATCTGGGGTAGGTGCAACATGAGACAAAAAAATTACAAGGGTTTGAATAAGAGGTGTAACTGGTGTCTTCAAGTGGCCACACCTCTCCAAAGTGTGGACAGTTACTAAATAATTTCAATGCACTTTTATAATCCAAGGAAAGAGCCTTCAACTATTAGGTGCTTTTTTGAGCTCTCCTAGCTGTGCCGTTGAGGAACTGAAGCAAGCACACTTGTATTTTTTGGTTTGGAATACAACCCTGCAACCCCATCATCACACAATTACTGTTGTTTACGCAATCCAAAAACGGTCCATTCATAAATCGCAATCTGGGTAGGAGGTCATCATTTGAAAGCTTATTCTATTGCCAACATGACTAGCTAAATTATAAAATACCATCTCACAGTGCTAGGCTTTCACAAGGCACTTCAGAGAAACAGAAATGAATTTTGGTGCGCTTAGAATGGATTCATGAGTGCATTCAGGCGCGTGTTCCGCTGCAAATTTTCTTCACAATAGGACAAATGACGTCATGTCATCCTTATAACTGTAAATCAAACATAGCGATCCTAAATGTTGATTCTGTAGATTACATGAGTTTTATAAATATGGAAATGTGAAGTGCACATTTGGACTCACGGGTGTGTGGTTTGCTTGTTTGACATCAAAGTGGTGTTTATTATCGTCGTCAACGTCTCATCTTTCAGAACATATCAAGTCCTCTTGAATTACAGCATTCCCCTTTCTCAGACAACAAAACATTAGGGGGCGGGATTGGGGCATCTTGTTGTGCTTGGTGCTCACATTTAAAGCGTCTGTCAGTTGAATCCCATACAGCGCTGTGAAGCGGAGACCCTGAACTCTGACGTAATGTATCACATGTTACTGTACAGCCACTGTGTTCCAATTTAGGTGCTTAATTTAGGCGCTTATCAGTGACTTAGTCTGCCATTTTCAACCCGTTGTGAGTGTAAAGGGCTACAGATATTTGCGGTGGCTAATCAACGGTAAATAAGTGAATTGTTTCACCCCACAGTTAGCCAGCATATTTAACTAGCAGCTAAAATTGTTAACAAACTGTAAACCATCTCCCCTACACTCTTCTACTAGCTACAGTAGCACTGCCATGTCAATAACATGTCTCCAGTTGTTTACATTTAGCTATTGTGATGCACCTTCCATGCTTATTGTGAGGCATGTGTGTGCGGGGCTGTGTTCGGAGCTAAACTGTGTGTGTGTGTGTCTGTCTGTCAGGTGGGATCAGTGGAGGAGTTCCAGGGTCAGGAGAGGAGGGTGATACTGGTCTCAACGGTCCGCAGTAGCGCCAAGTACGTCCAGACAGACCAACACTTCAGCCTCGGCTTCGTCAAAAATGAGAAGGTACACATACCTCATTCAAGGGTTTTTCTTTATTTTTACTATTTTTTACATTGTAGAACAATAGTGAAGACATCAAAACTATGAAATAACACATATGGAATCATGCAGTATAAAAAAGTGTTAAACAAATCAGAATATATTTGAGATTTGAGATTCTTCAAAGTAGCCACCCTTTGCCTTGATGACAGCTTTGCACACTCTTGCATTCTCTTAACCAGCTTCACCTGGAATGCTTTTCCAACAGTCTTGAAGGAGTTCCCACATATGCTGAGCACTTGTTGGCTGCGTTTCCTTCACTCTGCGGTCTAACTCATCCCAAACCATCTCAATTGGGTTGAGGTCGGGCGATTTGTGGAGGCCAGGTCATCTGATGCAGCACTCCATCACTCTCCTTCTTGGTCAAATAGCCGTTACACAGACTGGATGTGTGTTGGGTCATTGTCTTGTTGAAAAGCAAATGATAGTCCCACTAAGCGCAAACCAGATGGGATGGCATATCGCTGCAGAATGCTGTGGTAGCCATGCTGATTAAGTGTGCCTTGAATTCTAAAGAAATCACTGACAGTGTCACCAGTAAAGCACCCCTACACCATCACACCTCCTCCTCCATGCTGCACGGTGGGAAACACACATGTGGAGATCATCCGTTCACCTACTCTGCATCTCACAAAGACATTTGGACTAATGTCCATTGCTCATGTTTCTTGGCCCAAGCAAGTCTCTTCTTCTACTTGTCCTTTAGTAGTGGTTTCTTTGCAGCAATTCGACCATGAAGGCCTGATTCACACAGTCTCCTCTGAACACTTGATGTTGATGTGTCTATTACTTGAACTCTGTGAAGCATTTATTTGGGCTGCAATTTCTGAGGCTGGTAACTCTAATTAACTTATCCTCTACAGCAGAGGTAACTCTTGGTCTTCCTCTCCTGTGGCGGTCCTCATGAGAGCCAGTTTCATCATAGCACTTGATGGTTTTTGCGACTGCACTTGAAGAAACTTTCAAAGTTCTTGAAACTTTCCGGATTGACTGACCTTAATGTCTTAAAGTAATGATGGACTGTCGTTTCTCTTTGCTTATTTGAGCTGTTCTTGCCATAATATGGACTTGGGCTATCTTCTGTATACCACCCCTACCTTGTCACAACACAACTGATTGGCTCAAACGCATTAAGAAGGAAACAAATTAACTTTTAACAAGGCACACCTGTTAATTGAAATGCATTCCAGGTGACTACCTCATGAAGCTGCTCGAGAGAATGCCAAGAGTGTGCAAAGCTGTCATCAAGGCAAAGCGTGGCTACTTTGAAGAATCTCAAATATAAAATATTTTGATTTGTTTACCACTTTTTTTTTAGTTACTACATGATTCCATATGTGTTATTTCATAGTTTTGATGTCTTCACTATTATTCTACAATGTAGAAAATAGTAAAAATAAAGAAAAACCCTTGAATGAGTAGGTGTTCTAAAACTTTTGACCGGTAGTGTATATCACTTTATTTGTGCACTGTTATATATGTGGCAGTGTCACAAAATACTGCACACACACACACCATGTATCGACACAAGTGGTTCCCAAATTCGGGGTTTGAACCCTATGTGGGTACCCTGAGATTAAAATGGGGTCCCCTGAGGAGAAAATCTGTAATCTTAAACAAATAACTTTTCTCTCTTCAAATTGGTATAGAACACAACCTTCTAGTGTCAAATAAGGGCCTTTTACACTATTAGAATGTGCTTTCATGGCATTATTGTGTGTTTGGGACAGCCTGCAGGACCTAAAATTGAGTGATTTATACACAGCGTTAACTAAGGAATATAATTTTCTAGTGTCAATTTGGAGTTGTGTGCAGAAACACTTTGATCTACACACACACACACACCACAGTGATAGTTCTGACCTCATGCTCTCCTCTATCTGTCCAGCGGTTCAACGTGGCGGTGACCAGAGCCAAAGCCCTGCTGATCGTGGTGGGAAACCCCTTAGTGCTGCGAGGAGACCCCACTTGGGGCAGGTACGTACTGACCCTAACCCTTAGTTCTGAGAGGAGACCCCACATGGGGCCGGTACATACTGCCCCTAACCCTTAGTGCTGAGAGGAGACCACACCTGGGGAAGGTACATACTGACCCTGACCCTTAACCCTTAGTGCTGAGAGGAGACCCCACCTGGGGCAGGTAAGGACTGACCCTAACCCTTATAGCTTGGGGGTAGAAGCTGTTAAGAAGCCTTTTGGACCTAGACTTGCCGTGCGGTAGCAGAGAGAACAGTCTGACTAGGGTGGCTGGAGTCTTTGGCAATTTTTAGGGCCTTCCTCTGACACCGCCTGGTATAAAGGTCCTGAATGGCAGGAAGCTTGGCCTCAGTGATGTACTGGGCCGTACGTACTACCCTCTGTAGTGCCTTGTGGTCGGAGGCCGAGCAGTTGCCATACCAGGCGGTGATGCAACCAGTCAGGATGCTCTCGAATGGTGCAGTTGTATAACTTTTTGAGGATCTGAGGACCCATGCCAAATCTTTTCAGTCTCCTGAGGGGGAATAGGCTTTGTCGTGCACTCTTCACGACTGTCTTGGTGTGTTTGGACCATGATAGTTTGTTGGTGATGTGGACACCAAGGAACTTGAAGCTCTCAACCTGCTCCACTACAGCCCCGTCGATGAGAATGGGGGAGTGCTCGGTCCTCCTTTTCCTGTAGTCCACAATCATCTCCTTTGTCTTGATCACGTTGAGGGAGAGGTTTTTATCCTGGCACCACACGGCCAGGTCTCTGACCTCCTCCCTATAGGCTGTCTCATCGTTGTTGGTGATCAGGCATACCATTGTTGTGTCGTCGGCAAACTTAGTGCTTGGCCATGCAGTCATGGGTGAACTGGGAGTACAGGAGGGGACTGAGCACGCACCCCTGAGGGGGCCCCCGTGTTGAGGATCAGCGTGGCAGATGTGTTGTTACCTACCCTTACCACATTTACATTTTAGTCATTTAGCAGACGCTCTTATCCAGAGCGACTTACAGTTAGTGAATATATATATATATATATATATATATATATTTTTTCTTTTTTATACTGGCCCCCCGTGGGAATCGAACCCACAACCCTGGCGTTGCAAACGCCATGCTCTATCAACTGAGCTACATCCCTGCCGGCCATTCCCTCCCCTACCCTGGACGACGCTGGGCCAATTGTGCGCCGCCCATGAGTTTCCCGGTCGCGGCCGGCTGCAACAGAGCCTGGATTCGAACCAGGATCTCTAGTGGCACAGTTAGCACTGCGATGCAGTGCCTTAGACCACTGCGCCACTCAGGAGGTATAGGGAGGTGTTTAGTCCCAGGGTTCTTAGCTTAGTGATGAGCTTTGAGGGCACTATGGTGTTGAACGCTGAGCTGTAGTCAATTAATAGCATTCTCACGTAGATGTTCCTTTTATCCAGGTGGGAAAGGGCAGTGTGGAGTGCAATAGAGATTGCATCATCTGTGGATCTGTTGGAGCGTTATGCAAATTGAGTGGGTCTAGAGTTTCTGGGATAATGGTGTTGATGTGAGCCATAACCAGCCTTTCAAAGCACTTCATGGCTACAGATGTGAGTGCTACGGGTCGGTAGTCATTTAGGCAGGTTACCTTAGTGTTCTTGGGCACAGGGACTATGGTGCTTTGCTTGAAACATGTTGGTATTACAGACTCAGTCAGGGACAGGTTGAAAATGTCAGTGAAGACACTTGCCAGTTGGTCAGTGCATGCTCGGAGTACACGTCCTGGTAATCCGTCTGGCCCTGCGGCCTTTTGAATGTTGACATGTTTTAAAGGTCTTACTCACATCAACTATAGAGAGCGTGATCACACAGTCGTCTGGAACAGCTGATGCTCTCATGCATGCTTCAGTGTTGCTTGCTTCGACGCGAGCATAGAAGTTATTTAGCTCGTCTGGTAGGCTCGTGTCACTGGGCAGCTCGCGCTGTGCTTCCCTTTGTAGTCCGTAATAGCCCTGCCACATCCGACGTGCGTTTGAGCCGGTGTAGTACGATTCAATCTTAGTCCTGTATTGACGCTTTGCCTGTTTGATGGTTCGTCGGAGGGCATAGTGGGATTTCTTATAAGTGTCCGGGTTAGAGTCCTGCTCCTTGAAAGCGGCAACTCTACCCTTTAGCTCAGTGCGGATGTTCCCTGTAATCCATGGGGTATGTACAGTGAGAGGAAAAAAGTATTTGATCCCCTGCTGATTTTGAATGTTTGCCCACTGACAAATAAATTATCAGTCTATAATTTTAATGGTAGGTTTATTTGAACAGTGAGAGACAGAATAACAACAAAAAAATCCAGAAAAACGCATGTCAAAAATGTTATAAATTGATTTGCATTTTAATGAGGGAAATAAGTATTTGACCCCCTCTCAATCAGAAAGATTTCTGGCTCCCAGGTGTCTTTTATACAGGTAACGAGCTGAGATTAGGAGCACACTCTTAAAGGGAGTGCTCCTAATCTCAGTTTGTTACCTGTATAAAAGACACCTGTCCAAAGAAGCAATCAATCAATCAGATTCCAAACTCTCCACCATGGCCAAGACCAAAGAGCTCTCCAAGGATGTCAGGGACAAGATTGTAGACCTACACAAGGCTGGAATGGGCTACAAGACCATCGCCAAGCAGCTTGGTGAGAAGGTGACAACAGTTGGTGCGATTATTCGCAAATGGAAGAAAAACAAAAGAACTGTCAATCTCCCTCGGCCTGGGGCTCCATGCAAGATCTCACCTCGTGGAGTTGCAATGATCATGAGAACGGTGAGGAATCAGCCCAGAACTACACAGGAGGATCTTGTCAATGATCTCAAGGCAGCTGGGACCATAGTCACCAAGGAAACAATTGGTAACACACTGTGCTGTGAAGGACTGAAATCCTGCAGCGCCCGCAAGGTCCCCCTGCTCAAGAAAGCACATATACAGGGCCGTCTGAAGTTTGCCAATGAACATCTGAATGATTCAGAGGAGAACTGGGTGAAAGTGTTGTGGTCAGATGAGACCAAAATCGAGCTCTTTGGCATTAACTCAACTCGCCGTGTTTGGAGGAGGAGGAATGCTGCCTATGACCCCAAGAACACCATCCCCACCGTCAAACATGGAGGTGGAAACATTATGCTTTGGGGGTGTTTTTCTGTTAAGGGACAACTTCGCTGCATCAAAGGGACGATGGACGGGGTCATGTACCGTCAAATCTTGGGTGAGAACCTCCTTCCCTCAGCCAAGGCATTGAAAATGAGTTGTGGGTGGGTATTCCAGCATGACAATTACCCAAAACACACAGCCAAGGCAACAAAGGAGTGGCTCAAGAAGAAGCACATTAAGGTCCTGGAGTGGTCTCCAGACCTTAATCCCATAGAAAATCTGTGGAGGGAGCTGAAGGTTCGAGTTGCCAAACGTCAGCCTCGAAACCTTAATGACTTGGAGAAGATCTGCAAAGAGTAGTGGGACAAAATCCCTCCTGAGATGTGTGCAAACCTGGTGGCCAACTACAAGAAACGTCTGACCTTTGATTGCCAACAAGGGTTTTGCCACCAAGTACTAAGTCATGTTTTGCAGAGGGGTCAAATACTTATTTCCCTCATTAAAATGCAAATCAATTTATAACATTTTTGGCATGCGTTTTTCTGGATTTTTTTTGTTTGTTATTCTGTCTCTCACTGTTCAAATAAACCTACCATTAAAATTATAGACTGATCATGTCTTTGTCAGTGGGCAAACGTACAAAATCAGCAGGGGATCAAATACTTTTTTCCCTCACTGTACGTACGGTCACTGTGGTGACGACGTCATCGATGCACTAATTGATGAAGCCAGTGACTGATGTGGTGTACTCCTCAATTTCATCGGAAGAATCCCGGAACATATTCCAGTAGGTGCTAGCAAAACAGTCCTGTAGCTTAGCATCTGCATCATCTGACCACTGGTACTTCCTGCTTTAGTTTTTGCTTGTAAGCAGGAATCAGGAGGATAGAATTATGGTCAGATTTGCCAAATGGAGGGCGAGGGAGAGCTTTGTACGCATCTCTGTGTGTGGAGTAGTGGTCTAGTTTTTATTTTTTATTTAATTTTTCTCTTGTTGCACATATAACATGCTGATAGAAATTAGGTAAAACGGATTTAAGTATCCATGCATTAAATTCCCCAGCCACAAACACAGTAATTATGACAACTTCCGGAGGACGTCCTCCAACCTATCAGAGCTCTTGCAGCATGAACTGGCATGTTGTCCACCCAATCGAAGGATCAGAGAATTAATCTAGTACTAAACGCATAAGCTACAGCTAGCTAGCACTGCAGTGAATAAAATGTGGTGAGTTGTTGACTCAAAGAGAGAAATAAAATAGTTGCACAGTTTTGAACACATTTATTTCTTCCAAAATTAAGGAGAAGCAGGAGCGAGAGGGAGAGATTTGGTTGTATTTTATTTTCACTTAGCTAGCCAATGCAGCTATCTAGTTTAGCCTACTCAAACACCCGGCTAAGAGAGGGATACTATGTTAGCTGACTATGGCTATCCAACACTAGAACTCTTCCAAGTCCAGGTAAGCTTTTGGTTTTATAAATGTATTGCCACCGGGGCTTGCCAGTGTAACTGCTAAAATGCTTATGCAGCTAGCTAGTTTAGCCTACTTAAACACTCTACTCAAACAAAGAGGGATGCTATGTTAGCTAGCTGGCTACTGGGGAGGAGTATTTGTCTGTAATAAAGCCCTTTTCTGGGGAAAAACTCATTCTGATTGGCTGGGCCTGGCTCCCCAGTGGGTCGGCCTACCTCCCAAGTGGATGGACCTATGCCCACCCATGGCTGTGCGCTTGCCCAGTCATGTGAAATCCATAGATTAGGGCCTAATTTATTTATTTCAATTGACTGATTTCCTTATGAACTGTAACTTAGTAAAACCTTTGAAATTGTTGCATGTTGCGTTTTATATTTTTGGTTCAGTATAGATGCAGGCAAGAGTGTGCAAGGCGGTATTGAATGTGTCACTGTCTGTCACCTTCATTACTCAAAATTCTCTCGACCTGTGTACCTACGTTGTAAACTTTCATTCATAGGCTAGGTTGTAGCAACCTCATGATGGGTACAGGGAAAATGTGAGTATCATGTAGTAAACCTATCGACGTTACATTGAGCTGGGTGAATGGAATATGAATGACAGTCATCCAATATGCTGTAATAGAAATAAGGCCATGCTCATAAAAAATCATAATCATCCTCCCTCATCTTAAACGGCACCGACCGCCACTGGTGCGTACTGACCCTAACCCTTAATGCTGAGAGGAGGTCCATCTGGGGCAGGTACGTCCTGACCCCTAACCTTTAGGGCTGAGAGGAGACTACACCTGGGGCAGGTACATACTGACCCTAACTGAGGACCACATTGGAAATAAGTGTATTTTACTTTTAATCAGTCTGTCTGCATATTTCAAGACATGGCATATGAGGGTGCAGTGAGATACCCGATGGGTTGGATGATACTTTTCTCGTCAATCATCTTGAAAAAATGTATACTTAAACACTGTAAATCAACCAATTCTCCATTGTTAAAACAATGGAAAGTTCAAATGCTTTATTATATAAATGTTGAAAGTGCGTGGGCGACAGAGAGAAACAAATTGAGGCCATGTGGCGAAAAGTGATGCGGGCGCTGGAGATGGAGGAGTGAGCATGTGGGTCTGGGCAGGTATGATATAGTTGATGATTGTGTGATCTTGTTGTTTGTATGTGTATGTTTTGTATTGTTTAAAAATATATATATACAGACAGTACCAGTCAAAAGGTTAGACACCTACTCATTCAAGGGTATTTCTTAATTTGTACTATTTTATACATTGTAGAATAATAGTGAAGACATCAAAACTATGAAATAACACATGGAATCATGTAGTAACCAAAGAAGTGTTAAACAAATCAAAATATTTTAGAATCTTCAAAGTAGCCACCCTTTGCCTTGATGACAGCTTTGCACACTCTTGGCATTCTCTCAGCCAGCTTCACCTGGAATGCTTTTCCAACATTCTTGAAGGAGTTCCCACATATGCTGAGCACTTGTTTGCTGCTTTTCCTTCACTCTGCGGTCCAACTCATCCCAAACCATCTCAATTGGGTTGAGGTCTGGTGATTGTGGAGGCCAAGTCATCTGATGCAGCACTCCATCACTCTCCTTCTTGGTCAAATAGCCCTTACACAGCCTGTAGGTGTGTTGGGTCATTGTCCTGTTGAAAAACAAATGATAGTCCCACTAAACACAAACCAGATGGGATGGCGTTTCGCTGCAGAATGCTGTGGTAGCCATGCTGGTTAAGAGTGCCTTGAATTCTAAATAAATCACTGACAGTGTCACAAGGAGAGCACCATCACACCACCACCTCCATGCTTCATGGTGGGAACCACACATGCAGAGATCATCCGTTCACCTACTCTGCGTCTCACAAAGACACGGCGGTTGGAACCAAAAATCTCCAATTTGGATTCCAGACCAAAGGACAGATTTCCACCGGTCTAATGTCCATTGCTCATGTTTCTTGGCCCAAGCAAGTCTCTTCTTCTAATTGGTGTCCTTTTAGTAGGGGTTTCTTTGCAGTAATTCGACCATGAAGGCCTGATTCACACAGTCCCCTCTGAACAGTTGATGTTGAGATGTGTCTGTTACTTGAACTCTGTGAAGCATTTATTTGGGCTGCAATTTCTGAGGCTCTAATGAACTTATCCTCTGCAGCAGAGGTAACTCTGGGTCTTCCTTTCCTGTGGCGGTCCTCATGAGAGCCAGTTTCATCATAGTGCTTGATGGTTTTTGCGACTGCACTTGAAGAAAATTTCAAAGTTATTGACATTTTCCGGATTGACTGACCTTCATGTCTTTAAAGTAATGATGGACTGTCATTTCTCTTTGCTTATTTGAGCTGTTCCTGCCATAATATGGACTTGGTCTTTTACCAAATAGGGCTATCTTCTGTATACCAACCCTACCTTGTCACAACACAACTGATTTGGCTCAAATGCATTAAGAAATAAATACATTCCACAAATTAACTTTTAACAAGGCACACCTGTTAATTGAAATGCATTCCAGGTGACTACCTCATGAAGCTGGTTGAGAGAATGCCTAGAGTGTGCAAAGCTGTCATCAAGGCAAAGGGTGGCTATTTGAAGAATCTCAAATATAAAATATTTTGATTTGTTTAACACTTTTTTTTTGATGATTCCATATGTGTTATTTCATAGTTTTGATGTCTTCACTATTATTCTACAATGTAGAAAATAGTAAAAATAAAGAGAAACCCTGGAATGAGTAGGTGTGTCCAAACTTTTGACTGGTGGTGTATATATCTTACCAAAAAAAAAGGAAATAAGTGTATTAAACACTTTCAAGCGTCATCCTCTGGGACTTTTAAACTGTTGAATTGGAAAAAAAGAAATCACCTAAGGAACTCTAACCTCTCTCTCTTCCCCCTCCAGGTTCCTCCAGTTCTGTTCCCAGGCGGGGGGGAAGACAGGGTTTGACTCCTCCCAGGCTGAGGGAGAGGAGGAGGTGGTGGAACGACTAGCTGCCCTCTGCTTACAGGCTGAGCCCCAAGGTAACACACACAGACAAACACACACAAATGCACGTACACTTCAAACTGTTCAGAAATATAAAATAAATGTTTAATTTTGGAGGTTAACTGTTTGCTTCTCTTTTTCTCTCACTCACTCACTCACTCACTCACACACACACATGGTCATCCAGTGGAGACAGAGGAGAGTGAGGTTCAGCAGCAGATTGAACCAGAGTGGAGGAACGAGCAGTGAGAGACACACACACACCTCATGCAGGCACATCATAGAGGAGACCCAACAACAGTACTCTTCTTGCTAACAGCTAGAGACACCAATGACATCATCCCTAGAACAGATGTTTTCAAAGTGTGAGGCACGCTTCCTCCAGAGAGTTTCATGTAAGGAAAGCTAAATAAAACGGTATTCAGTTCTCTAATAATGAATAAATATTAAGCCTGTTTCTAACTATAGGCAGGGGGGGAAAACACAAATTTTTTAAGCAGTTTTAATGGCTACATTTAAAAAGAGGGTTGTCCCAGCTTTTGGTTGTCTTGCTGTTCTCTGAATGAATGCCCACTGTCTCAGACTTTGAAAGCGTCTGCCCTAGTACTACTGCACTAAGTAACATTTGATACCAGGCCAAAGTTATTTATTGTATAATTTCAATACCAGATCCAGCAGTTGTTACCATATAGTTTCCTACTTAATACCAGGTGAACTTCCTATGAGATCTATCAGGACCAGTCCTCTAGGATAAAGTGAATGAATTTATACAATGACTTTGTACCCTCCATCTATGCTGGTGCTAGTTTTATTAGTTTGAGTCTGTTGTATGTAGTCTTATAGACAGAGACTGAGGCCAGGATTCAATCCCATCACGTTTTGTTGGCTATGCACCTTTTAAAGGCAATGTTCCTGCATTCGCGGAGACTGCATGAATGGTAATAGCTGCATATGTCGGCTCAATCAGAAATAATATTTTAAGGCCTACTCCAGTCTCCATTCCCCAAATGTATAACCTGATTTACTTAACAAAAGGCACATCTCAATGGGTGGACCAGGTATCCTCATGACATTGCACAAGTTGGGGGGTGGGCCTTTCCTCTTTTGTTCTCTATTGCTCCTCAAGCAAGGGGGAGGCCGATGACACCACAAAGTCCCCATCATACCAACTCCGTGAATGCCCTACTCCTTGAAGTTTGCAGTTTTGTAAAAAAAAAATCTATTTTGCTCAAAGTATATATTTTTTAAAACCTGGAGTATGTGTACTTTACTGTATTTATTCTTGGATGTCGCTTTTCAACAGGAAGCATTAAAAAATAAATCATTGGAGGACGTCTTTAAAGAGATTTTGGCAATTAAGCTTGAGATTTAAAAGGATAGTGCGAGATTTTTGCAATCAAGTCCTTTTTCTACTTACCCAGAGTCAGATGAACTCATGGATACCATTTGTATGTATCTGTGTGCAGTTTGAAGGAAGTTTAAGGTAATTTCGCAGGCGATTGCTAACTAGCGTTTGTGCAATGAACGCTAGTTAGCAACATCCTTCAAACTACACCCAGAGACATAAAAATTGTATCCATGAGTTCATCTCATGGATGTCTGTATGTCTGAGGTTCAGGCCTTTACAGTGTGTTAGCCTAGAGGTTCAGTTCCCCTTGAATTCATCAAACTATTTCTCTGTGTGTCTGACCTTGTTGATGTAATCTAAGATAAACTGGAATAAATCATTATTATATGTCTGATCTATTGTCAAGCTTTTAACCACAGAGATCCTATTTAATTACTTACTATGCTTTTAACTTGTTAAGATGTTTCTCTCCTTCCATGGTGCGTTAAGTAGGGCAACATTTTGCGGGATGTTCAGATACAAATGTTGCATGTAGAACATACATGTCTCACTGACTTGTAGCGTAAAGAATCATGTTAGGTCTGTTAATTACATTTCTATCTGCAAAGTTCCACTGCTAGAAGCTATTTATTACCACATCACCAGCTCTCTTCAGTTAGAGGGAATCAGTAAGCCAATACCATTTAAAAATACTTGATTAACATTTTCAACTTGTCAAGACGATTAATAATCAGCAAACATGGAGGGACTACCGGAACTTGTCTAATAAGAAACAATATTTTCCATTTTCATTTGCATAACATTTTGCTACGTTGTGCCCTAATGAGTATGACCCAGTTGGTCTTGGCAAGCTGTAGAGCAGCAGAGAATGAAGGGTATTTCTAATTCTAAATAAAGCCTGCCTAAAGAGTCCAGGGTCCGTATGTATCATATCAGAGTAGGAGTGCCGATATAGGATCAGGTTCCCTCGGTCCATGTAATCTTATTCTTTATGATGTAAAAGGCCAAACTGATCCTAAATCAGCCCTTCTAATCTGAGACGCTTGATACATACGGCCCCCTGGACTAGGTTTAAACTGCTCCGTAGTCCTGGACTAGGTTTAATAATCCAAGAGTAGGGTTAATGTGAGTCTGGGAAACCAGAATATAATAGAATACAACTTTATTGTCCATTGGATAGAATGGAAATGTGTCTTCTGCCTTTCCCAACACCCCCAGATACACAAACGCATAATCTGCAGTGCAGCACCCCTGGATGTAGAGTAATTGTGGGGGATTAAGTGCCTTGCTCAAGCGCACAACAGCAGGAAAATGTAATGTAATCTGCTAGGGTTAGTGTAGGTCTGGGGAACCAGCCCATATACACTGCTCAAAAAAATAAAGGGAACACTTAAACAACACATCCTAGATCTGAATGAATGAAATAATCTTATTAAATACTTTTTTCTTTACATAGTTGAATATGCTGACAACAAAATCACACAAAAATTATCAATGGAAATCAAATGTATCAACCCATGGAGGTCTGGATTTGGAGTCACCCTCAAAATTAAAGTGGAAAACCACACTACAGGCTGATCCAACTTTGATGTAATGTCCTTAAAACAAGTCAAAATGAGGCTCAGTAGTGTGTGTGGCCTCCACGTGCCTGTATGACCTCCCTACAACGCCTGGGCATGCTCCTGATGAGGTGGTGGATGGTCTCCTGAGGGATCTCCTCCCAGACCTGGACTAAAGCATCCGCCGACTCCTGGACAGTCTGTGGTGCAACGTGGCGTTGGTGGATGGAGCGAGACATGATGTCCCAGATGTGCTCAATTGGATTCAGGTCTGGGGAACGGGCGGGCCAATCCATAGCATCAATGCCTTCCTCTTGCAGGAACTGCTGACACACTCCAGCCACATGAGGTCTAGCATTGTCTTGCATTAGGAGGAACCCAGGGCCAACCGCACCAGCATATGGTCTCACAAGGGGTCTGAGGATCTCATCGCGGTACCTAATGGCAGTCAGGCTACCTCTGGCGAGCACATGGAGGGCTGTGTGGCCCCCCAAAGAAATGCCACCCCACACCATGACTGACCCACCGCCAAACCGGTCATGCTGGAGGATGTTGCAGGCAGCAGAACGTTCTCCACGGCGTCTCCAGACTCTGTCACGTCTGTCACATGTGCTCAGTGTGAACCTGCTTTCATCTGTGAAGAGCACAGGGCGCCAGTGGCGAATCTGCCAATCTTGGTGTTCTCTGGCAAATGCCAAACGTACTGCACGGTGTTGGGCCCTCATACCACCCTCATGGAGTGTATTTCTGACCGTTTGAGCAGACACATGCACATTTGTGGCCTGCTGGAGGTCATTTTACAGGGCTCTGGCAGTGCTCCACCTGCTCCTCCTTGCACAAAGGCGGAGGTAGCGGTCCTGCTGCTGGGTTGTTGCCCTCCTACGGCCTCCTCCATGTCTCCTGATGTACTGGCCTGTCTCCTGGTAGCGCCTCCATGCTCTGGACACTACGCTGACAGACACAGCAAACCTTCTTGCCACAGCTCGCATTGATGTGCCATCCTGGATGAGCTGCACTACCTGAGCCACTTGTGTGGGTTGTAGACTCCGTCTCATGCTACCACTAGAGTGAAAGCACCGCCAGCATTCAAAAGTGACCAAAACATCAGCCAGGAAGCATAGGAACTGAGAAGTGGTCTGTGGTCACCACCTGCAGAACCACTTCTTTATTGGGGGTGTCTTGCTAATTGCCTATAATTTCCACCTGTTCTCTATTCCATTTGCACAACAGCATGTGAAATTTATTGTCAATCAGTGTTGCTTCCTAAGTGGACAGTTTGATTTCACAGAAGTGTGATTGACTTGGAGTTACATTGTGTTGTTTAAGTGTTCCCTTTATTTTTTTGAGCAGTGTAGTTGTGTAGAGGAATGGTGTAATGTGATTAGGTCTAATTCTTTTGGTTATTCATTATGGAATTTTAAAAATGGATTTATATTTTACAGTGAACAGGGGCACCACTTAAGGATAGTTTCCTACCACTGATGCATAAGTGGTAGGAAACTATCCTTATCGCATAATTCTTATCTGAAGGTGAAGGTAATCAGAGTTCTTTAAAACGACAAGACAATGCATATCTCAGAGGCCAGTATACTTTAGAATGACGATTTATTATAAAAACATCAATATGAAGCAATTATTTTTTACAGGATTAATGATTAATGAAGGACTTTTGGCAAAATGATACGATATGGTTACAGACTCAAGATTCAACTGGGGAAAGGGGAATTAGATGGCCGAAAAGGGTCAGGCAAGCAGTTATTCTAATACTTCTAAACAAAACAAGGCAGGAATTAATTGCTAAGAGAAAAATAGCCTGAATAATATAGAGGTACACACAGATTTACATGCTCAAACCAAGCAGAGATCGTAGCAATGAGAAAACAACATTGAATCAAAGTCTGAATTAGTCCTTTCGTGCACAAAGGAAAAATAGTCCAAGGTAAAGGTCTTCATGGGTCCAAAAAGTTGGACCCGTTCCAAAATGGATCCATGGCTTTCCCACCCAATATGCATAGGACAGTCACACCCATTCCGAAAAGGACCGTGAAAAACAGACCCATGCTGGTTCGGATCCGAGAGACTCGTTCAGATCTGAGAGGAGAAAGAAACCTCCAACCAGTGTTGCCAAATTAGCGACTTTGTCGCTATATTTAGCGAGTATTCAGACCCCTCTAGCGACACATTTTCAAAAAAGTGACTAGTGTTAAGTTGCGTCAATTCAAATCTGGTATTGGAACAAAAAGAGGTCAATACACGTCTTCTAAAATAGACTAGTATTTTAATTAATGCAAAACCCTTCAATGGTAAATATGATGTTCGCATATACGGGTCCACTGAAACACCACGCAGGGCAGTCAGAGAACTGAGCCATCGTTCTAAGTTCTTCTTTAAATACTCTGACAGAGATAGTTCCCGCTCCAAGCAGGCCTATCAGAGTAGAGACTGAGCGTGGTTTAGACTTACTCAGCCTATCGTTGGCGCACAGGCTTGTCCCAGCCCCTTGGTGCTTCACTGTTGCCAGGCATTAGTTGTTATCTCCACAACTTGTCTCGAGTCAGCAACCCCAGACACAGTTTGTCCTTGAGCGGTTTAACAAAGAGGCAGTGTGTGGGTCACAAGTCTGTCTCGGCCTACCCCCTAATGGTTCCTCACATTAATCACAGCTTGTTATGTTAAACAGTCTATATCAGTACAGCACAAACCTATTATGTTTAATCATTAATGCTTTCTTATTAAGCTAACAGCACATCTAAAATATAAGATAATTTCCCACACTAGTGACAAATCTAGTGACTTTTTCTGGTGTTATTGGAGACTCTGACGTGAAAGCACGTATCGTTCTTACTCTTATCAACGAGCAGCGGGTGCTGCCGTGGTCCCAAAGCACTCCCAGGCGGCCCAGTCCTCGCGCAGCTTTTTACTCACCTTTTGTCTCTCCCATGACGTTATTCCTCTCTCCTACAGCGTCCATCACAATTACATGCACATGGCCAATTATGCA